TGAAGCAGGGGGTGTCTTGAGTGGAATTTCGACTTCATCCTAAAGGCACTAGGGAGCCAGAAAGGCTTTGGAACTTGGGAGCTGTGCGAACAGACCACTGCAGAGACACCTGGACTGTGGGTTCCTCGGAATCCGAGTTCTAGGTTCAGCTCCATGACCCCAGCACCACACGAGGCACGGTGTGGGGGCTTTGTACGCGTTGTCAGAGTCATGAACTGGAAATGTGTGTGGAAGAACCCCCGTTGTGAACAAAGTCATCCCGGTGCATGAGTGAAATGAGAGACGGAGACTGGGGTCAGACTCAGCCCCAGGAGGGGGTTGGAAGGCAGTGAAGCTACATCGGCTGTGTCGGAGTGGATATGGTCTGTGAGTCTGTCTCGTCTAACACCCCGGTACACAGATGGGGAAACTGAGGTCAGCAGGGGAGAGCGGTTTGCCCCAGAGCATAGTTAATGGCAGAGCTGGGACTCCCCTCCAGAGCCCTGCCTCCCTTGCCTGTGTCCTCTCGTCCCATGGCTGTGTGCATCTTGGGGCCCATGGGCCCAGCATCGTGGAGGTGGCAGGGAGCGTGGTCCTCCGGGTGATGGATGAACACGCAGTGAGTTCCTTGTTGGATGTGGGACTTCGGGCCAGACCTCAGCAACCTCTACCAGGGCCTCAGTTTCTGTGCCTGGCACTTCCTGTGTGCTGCGTGTTTTAGGAATATTATTTTATTCAAGTTACACAATGTCCAATGAGACAGGTACTATTATCTGAGAAGTGTGGTGCCTTGCCATGAAGGGCCCTGAGGTTCCTGAGGCCAGGGCTGCGTGATCGCCCCCCCCATCAGCATGCCCCCTCCAGCCTGCCCCTCCTGGATGGTAGGATGTCTTCCCACCAGCTGTGATCTCCATCCCTCCAACCCCACCCCTTCCTGCCCTGTGCAGAGCCATTCCAGGACAAGCCTATGGACCAAATTGCTAGGCCTGTTTGTCTTGGCTCCCTGACTTCTCTTGTCTCCCCTCCCTGGTGGCTGCCTGAGCAGGTGGCCCTCCTGCCAGAGGCCAAGGGGAAATGATCCAGCAGGCCCAGATGCAGCCCTGAGCATGGGTCACTCCAGGCCAGGGGTCGCTCCCCGCCACACTACACCATGCCAGGGGACCATGTGTGTGGAGGGAGGTGGGGGCTGCTGAGAGCAGGGCTGGGCTGACTGGAGCTTCCTCTGGATTTGTGGTTTGGCTCCCTCTGTGGCCAACCCAGTGGAAACAAGATCTTTCAACTGGTGCCTGCACACTTGTCCTCCCTGGCGTTGTCTGAGGCAGGGGCTGCGGGGAGGGACACTGACACCTGTGATTCCCAGTCACCCCGAGGCAGAATCACGCCTGCCCTCTGCCCCTCCTTGCTTCGATGCTCCACCCGCTGCTTCCCGGCTGTGTCTCCTGGTGATGGAACTCTCTTCCTCACCCATCTCCCTGTCTATCAAACAAGGAGAGTGGGTAGATTTGTGATTTTTTTTAAAGCAGAATCTCTCTGGGACTAAGAATTCCCAGAATTGTCATATGGAAGCCCGGGCTAGGCCCATTAGGCAGGTGTCCTGGTGGGAATGTTTCAGCTTCTGCCCCCATCTGTCCCTGGGCCCCCTGGGCACCACTGGGAAACAAATCACTGGAGGGGAGTCTCTGGCCCATTTATTCCCTGTGGAACCACATGTTCTCCAAACCTGGAGCATCCCCTGCAGAGGAGCTCCCCATCCTGTTCTCAGTGGGAGAGGGAGAGAGGTGGGGGGACTGGAGGGAAAGCTCTGCCCTGGAATAGAGGGAGAGAAAGCAGGGCTGTCGGCAGGGTGCTCACGGTTTTGTTGTGTTTTTATCTTTAAACTGTGGAGGGGAGAAAAGAAGTCCCAGTGGGTGTTGGCTTTTATTTCTATTTCTTTTCACTCTTTTTTCCCCCTCCTATGCAAAGATGGGCTATATCTGAGCAAGGAAAAGCAAGAAGAAAATGTTTTGTAATGTCTACAGGGGGGTAGAAGGAGTGCATGTCTTTAAAAGTGTGTGAATGCCTGTACTTTTCACATCATATACATGCTGTGAGATTCAAAAAGTAGAAAAGAGTATTCGGTGAAAAAAAAAGTCTCTTGTCTCCCCCTTCCTTGGAGACGATCTCTGCTCTCAGTTTCTTGGGTATCCTTCTGGAGACATTCGAACCTATATTTTAAAACACATTGTATGTAATTAATATGTACTAATATTTGTATTTCCAGTTGATCACGATGCTATTCTGCACCTTGTTCTTTTGTCTGTTTTTTATCTAATACATCTTGTGAATTGTTCCATACTAATAACTAAGGAATCACACCGTTTAAAAGCCCGCATTGCATTTCATTGTACAGATACATCAAACATTTATTATTTCTTTAAGCTTTCCAGAGAGGGATATTTTGATACATTTTAATCTGTGCTGCAATGCATATTCTTGAACATGTTTTCCACGTCACATGTGTAACTGTATCTGTTAAAACAATTCATAGAGGTGTCATTACTGGATCGAAGAGAACTTGTGCGCTTGTATTTCAGATCAAATGTTGGCAAAGTACCTCCCCCTGCTGTTCCACCAATTTCACTGCCCACCCCCGGCCCCACCCGGTGGGGTGGCAGGAGGGGGGCCTGTCTCCTCAAATCCTCACCAGTGATGCATATTATCTGATCTTTACCAAGCTGATGGGGGACATGGGGTATCTCTGTGGCCTTAACTTCCACGGTTCTCATTCTGGGGGAGGTTGACTGTCTTTTCCTGTTTTGGAGCCATCTTTATTTCTTTTGCTGTGGAAAGAATGTCGTTCTCTTTGCCCATTTCCCCCCTTGAGTTGCTGCCCTCTGCGTGCCCCTTTGCTGTGTGTGTCTGGGTAATTACTCTGTCATCTATAATACATGGAACAATATTTTTGTCCAGTTTCAGCGTTTTATTTGATACTGTGGGGATTTTTATTTTGCTCTTCAGAGCTTTTAACATTTCTGTGCAGTTAAATTTAACCACATTCATCAAGGATTTCCTTTATGCCTTCTAGGGTTTGTTGTACCAAAGATTATTTTCCGTTTTAATGCATGTTACAAACTAAAGAGAAAAAGCATTGGATTGAGAATCAGATCTGAGTTCACAGCCAGCAAACCCCTTTCGTCTTTTAATCTCACTTACGCTTTCTGTAAAATGAGGGGATGGGACTTCATTCATTCATTCATCCATGCATCAGCCCTGAGACAGGTGGTGGGATCACAGAGGTGAATGGTGTGGTCCTTGTCTTCATGGTCCAACAGTAAGAGAGGCCTGGTGTCCAAGAGTGCAACGCAGCGTGCTGGGGGCTGTGGTGGAGGACCCGGGGTGGACTGAGGGGACCGGAAGGCAAGGAGGAGGGTGAAGGTGTGGGAGGGGAAGCAAGGGACTTCAAGGGAGGTTGGGGCTGGGCTGAGTCTTGAAGAAAAGGAGTTATTCTGGCGAAATAGCCAGGTGGTGCAAGGCCGGGCAGGGTGGGTGACAGAGGGGGAGCATTCGAGGTGAAGGAGGAGGACCTGTGGCTGCATGAGGCCCTGGCAGACGGTGTGGGGAGTGGAGGGTCAGAAACAAACAGTATCACTAGGTGCAAAAACCCTGTAGGCCTCTCCCAAACCACCTCTCTCTGCCTTCCCCACGTGCTGGCAAGAACAGGCTGCTGGTGGGCGTGTAAAACGGCACAGCGGCATCTCACATGTTCTCCCCACAGGAACGGGTGGTAATCACCTGGCGTGATGGAGGTGTTAGCTCAACTAAGGAGGAAATCTCATTGCAATATATAAATATATCAAATCAACATATCGTATACCTTAAAGGTACAAAATGTTACATGCCAATTATGTCTTGATTTGAAAAATGGCACAGTTGCTTCAGACAGCTGAGCAACATTCAGTGAAGCTGTGGGTGTACAGCCCCCATCACCCCATAAATGCACCCTCAGGTGGTGGCATGACCTGCACAGGTAACGATGAGGAGACAGGTATCAGGAAGCACACAGCAGTAGTGTTTGTGATGTGAGGGGAACTTCACGTTCCACCAACAGAGAGGTGAACCCATCCATTACGGCTTATTTGCACCATAGAGTACAGTCGTGAAAATAAGACCCAGAACCACGTGCCTCAACCAAGACAAATCTCAAAAACGGTGTTGACTGGAGAAAAAGTGCCTGCCGACATTGATATGGGGTTAAGAGTCACGCGCAGCGGCCCCACAGGGTGTTAGAGACACACCCCATCAGGTCGTGAACCTGCGAGAGAGACTGCAGGGAATGACCAGCACCACACCCCACCCAGTGGTGTGGCCGGGGAAGACGCTGGAAAGTCCATGAAAGCATCTGCTGAACTGATGTTTTCTTTCTGAAGCAAAGTCGGGGGCACATGCTTGTTCCTCATATTGTTCTCTTTTTTAAGATCTTATTTATTTATTTTTAGAGAGAGGGGAAGGGAGGGAAAAAGAGAGGGAGAGAAACATTGATGTACAAGAGAAACATCAATTGGTTGCCTCTCACATGCCCCCAACTGGGGACTGACCCGCAACCCAGGCATGTGCCCTGACTGGGAATTGAACTGGTGACCTTTCAGTTTGCTGGATGATGGCCAACCCACTGAGCTGCACCAGTCAGGGGCCTCATATTATTCTTTAAAATGTTTTTAATAATATATCTAACCCAGCGTTTCCCCCAATTATTATTTCAATATGTAATCAATGTAAACATTATTAGGAGTATATTTTACATTCCTTTTGCCAAACTACGTATTGGAAATTTGCATTTTCTACTTATGGCCCATCTCAGTGGGGATGACCCACATTTCAGGTGCTCACCAGCCACGCTGGGCCAAAGGCTATTTATTATGCTGTACAGTACAGGGCTGACCCACAGTCAGGCAGAGGCTGTATCAGCTGACCTCTGAGATGTGCTATTTCCAAACAAAGTGGACTGTATGTGTGACACACAGCCTCTCTCTTCCTCCCTGCAGGACAGCCTTCCCATGGTCCCGTGGACCTCACGGAGCTCATCGGTGTCCCACTGCCTTCATCCGTGTCCTTCGTCACAGGCTACGGCGGCTTCCCAGCCTACAGCTTCGGGCCCGGCGCCAACGTGGGCCGCCCGGCCAGGATCCTCATCCCGCCCACGTTCTTCCGGGATTTCGCCATCAGTGTCACGGTGAAGCCCAGCAGCGCCCGAGGCGGCGTGCTCTTTGCCATCACGGACGCCTTCCAGAAGGTCATCTACCTGGGCCTGCGGCTCTCGGGCGTGGAGGACGGCCACCAGAGGGTCATCCTCTACTACACGGAGCCCGGCTCCCACGTGTCCCAGGAGGCTGCCGCCTTCTCGGTGCCCGTGATGACGCACAGGTGGAACCGTTTTGCCGTGATCGTCCAGGGCGAGGAGGTGGCCCTCCTGCTGGACTGCGAGGAGCACAGCCACGTCACCTTCCAGCGCTCCGCCCGGGCCTTGGCTTTCGAGGCCAGCGCAGGGCTCTTCGTGGGCAGCGCGGGAGCCACGGGGCTGGAGAGATTCACCGTGAGTGCAAGTCCCGCAGGGCGGGTCGGCCGCTGGACGCCGCACCTTGGACAGGAGCGGCTGCGCTTCCCAAAGCCTGATCCTCGCGTCCTCACGGGGGGGGGGGGGCGTGCGCGCAGGGCGGGGAAACGAGGGCCGGAACCCAGCGCCTGCGTTCCTGAGTCCTCGGTGTCGCCGGAGGGCTCAGACAGTCCTGGGTCTTCTGAGCCTCCCTGTGCTTTCTTATCTGAAAGCGGGGAGAACAAAACCTAGGCCACGGGGGTCGTGGGGTCAAGTGCTAGAGCCGGTGTGAAAGCACGTTGTTCCATCTGAGGCACCGTAAAGAGAGCAGGGTTTGTCAGACCCCCCCCCCACCCAGGATTTCTCTCTCCCAGCAGGGGTAGCACGCGCCGTGATTTTCGCAGGGCGGCCGTGGGCCGGAATGCCTGCGCGAGAGAGTTTCGCTCTCTCCTTTTGGACGGTGGGCCCTGAAAAAAATATCAGAACCCTGAGTTGACGGTCAGAATGGGTTTGTGGGTGGGAGCCATTCTACAGAAAATCGCTGAGCTACGGCGGTTATTCATCGAGTCAGCTAGAGTACTGACTTTGGGCTTACCGGCGGCACGAGGCGGCCCCGTGGGGCGGGGGTGGGGTTATCTGCAGCAAGCTGGACGACTGAGGACTTAAAGAAGTTAAAATCCGGTTAGCAATTTTTAAACACTCGCTCTGGGCAGTTGTGGAGAATGAGTTGTCAGATGTGGGGGGAGGAGGTGAGCATGGAGGGAGGGAGGCCAGCAGGCAGTTCTTCTTGGGACGAGGCCTTCTAGCCAAGGATTACCCAGCTACAGGTGAAAGACACGTTCGGATCCCAGAGAGGGGAGATGGGCATTTCCGGGCCTGCCCCTGACAAGTGGGAGGCCTGGGGCGCAGTTAGGAGGCTGCTGAGGTAGCCTGTGCTTTGCACACAATACTGCCCACCGGGCTCTCCAGCAAATGGGGCTCAGATTACCTCGGCTCTAGCAGAGAACCCCCTGAATGAGAGCAGGCCAAGAGGTGGCTTGGCTTCCTTGTCGCAGCCACCAGGCAGCACATTCTCACACCGTCCTGTCCCTGGTGCTCCTCCGTCACCAATGCCATCGTGTTTTCGCCGGTGGTTGTGCTAAAGATGTGCACGCGGTGGTTTCTGACCCCTCTGCTTTCCCCCAGGGCTCCATACAGCAGCTCACCATCCACCCTGACACCAGGACCCCGGAGGAGCTGTGTGAAGCCGAAGAATCCTCGGTGGGTGAGCCGCCATCTCCCCTCCACTCGCCTCCCCCCGCCCCACCTCCCCTTCCCTCCACAGAGGGCCCTGCAGCCAGCCCAGCAGCCGGTCTGCCGGGAAGGGCTGGGCGCCCCGGCGGTTCCTCATCCCCAACGTCACGGGGCCTCCACATTTTCTCAGCTTGGCTGGTGCTGCCTCGGGTTCTATTTTGGGCTTTTGGGCTTTACTTTATTATTTTTAAGAGCTTGGTGGTCGGGGAGGGGGGCAGGCACGGTGGTGTTTCTCCCAAGGTGTTAGTTTTTTCTGCCGCTGTGGCAGCCAATGGCCTGGCTTGCAGACTTCCTGCCAGGAAAGGGTGTCAGGGTTCTCAAATCAAAGCCAAAATTCTCAGACACCCTGAATTCTTATAAAAGTGAACCTAAATTTAGCTTTTGTGCTTGGCAAATGAATACTCACTTCCTGAGTTAGAAGTGGGGTCGTTTTTTGTTTGTTTGTCTGAGCAATGAAATGTGGAAGGAAACAGAAAGAATAAACAAGCGTGTGCACCTCCTCAATTTCACTCTGTCCGTCTGTCTTTCCAAGACACACACACACACACACACACACACAAGCACACACACACACACACATGCACACACTTGGTCCTCCGAGGGAGGCTGTTCTCTGGCGTTCCCAGAGTACTCTGCTCCCCCTTTACCGGGCACCACTTGCCTCCACATAGGCATCCGGAGAGGCCAGCGGGCTCCTGGAGACGGCCGGAGTCGCTGAGATCTTAGAGGCCGACACCTACACTCAAGCCCCGGTGAGTTCTGGGGAGCCGTGCTGTGCCAGCGTGGCCAGCGGTGAGGGGGCTGCGAGTTACTGGAGAGTCCCAGAGCCCGGGGTCTGACACGTCTGTTCTCAGGTCCGTGACTTCAGTCGTCGGCCGCAGGGCGTTTGACAGCATCCCCAGCGCTCAGGACACAGGTTACCTGAGAGCCGCCCTGTGCTGCGGCTGGCCTGGGAAGGCTGCCCAGAGGCAAGCACTGTGCTCGGTTGCCTCGCAGCTCTGTGACCGCGGGTGACTTGCTCAGCTGTTCTGGGGCTCAGCTCCTCTTCGCCATAAAGCAGTAATCAGAGTCCTGTCTCAGAGGGTCGTGGAGAGGGTTACATGAGGCAGCGCAGGGCCAGGTGTCAGGCCCACGCCTGGCATGAGGGGTGTGGCCCTGAGCGGTGGCCACTGGAACATTTGCTCGGGACTCTGGCTGTGAGAAGGAAGTCAGGGCCCCCACTCCCGGAAGGTGCCAAGTCCTCCCAAAGCTCACCTCTGACCCCGTGGGAAAGCCAGCCATCCTCCAGGGGCCCAGGCCTCCTCGCTTCTGGGAGTATGCCCTGTGTCTGAGACAGGAGAGAGGTGTCGAAAGCACTGAGTCAGACTCTGGAGACACCGAGGAGCCTTCTGCGACGGAAATAGCCAGCAGCGTCTGAGTCACTGAAGACGGAAGCCCCGGAGATGTCCCGAACCGGTCTGGCTCACTCTGCAGACTCATGTCTGATAGTGGAGCAGACACATGGAAATCAGGCAGAGGCCATACATTACAGACCTCTGGCAACAGCTGTGTGGGCGGGCAAGGACAGGGCCATGGTCTGTTAGTGCTGGAGGGACTGAACGGTCACCTTCTTCTGTATAAGGTGTGAAAAGGTGCCCTTTGCACAGACGGGCAAGCTGAGGCCCCGTGAGGAGAAGACACTGGCTCTAGGACACATGGGAAGAGCTGGGGCAAGAGCACAGGTCCCCTGATGTCCCACTCAGGGGCCAGGCCATGACTCTGAGCTCCTGTCCTGGGGGCATTGCAGAAGTCCATCCCCAAGGCGGCAGCCAGTTCTTGGGCAGCTTGGATGGAGGAAGTCAAGGGCCCAAAGTGGCTGCCTCAGCAGTGACCACTGTGAGCAGTGTGGCAATCTTGTGTGCCCATCAACCCCTGGCTACTTCACTGGCATGTCCAGGGCACAGAGTGGTGGTCACTTGGGCCTCCTAGCCCAGTGCTACCTGCCTGGTGTGCCAGTTTGCAGCTGGGAGTGAGGCTGACTCAGGCAGAGATGCCCAAGGTGGGCCTGGGAGCGGGATAGGAGAGGGGAACAGGGTTTGAGAGTGAGAGGCAATCGCAGGGGGTGGGCCCGGTCAGGGAAGGCTTTCTGATGGATGGACGGGTCATTGCAGCTGGCAGCTTTGGACAGAGGTACAGAAATGGTAGGGAAGGAAGAGGACTGGCATTTCTCGGTACCTGTAGTGTGGCTGGTGCTTTGTGCATGCGACCTAATGTAATCCTTGCAACAACCCTACAAGGGAGATGGGCTCTAAGAAGGGCAGGGCGGCTGTGCCAGGGTTGCACGGTGCTGGCATCAGGGCCCTCACCTGGCCTCCTCTCCCGGGCCAGGGTCCTGCAGTGCAGGGCAGATGTGGGTGTGTGTTGCAGCTGGGAGTGGGTACGGCATAAATCCCCAAAGTGTCTCAAGAAGTGAAAAAGGGATCTGATGGACCGTGGCCGCCAGGGCACCCCAAACCCTCTCCTTCCTAGACCCTCCAGCTCCACTCTCCTCGGTGGTTTTAAGAGAACCGGTATAGACCCGAGCCCCACCATGCGTGAGTCCAGCTCTGCCTCTCACTGTTGCTGACCTGGAGGCTGACCCGTCTGTGCAGGATGTCAGAGTCCCCTGCATGCTTCTGCGGAGCCCTCGCTGCCTCTGGCCGCCTTTGCAGGGCCGTGTTTTTCCATTCGTTCCCCAGAGGACGCACTGAGGCATAGAAGAGCGCAGAGTTTTGTCCGAGGCTGCCCAGCGAGTAGGCGGTGGGGCCAGGTCCCCGGGGAGGGGACCAGAGTGTCCTCAGTCATGTCACCCCGGAGCTGGGACTTCCCCTTCCACTGTCGCCTGGAGGGGCTCCCTGGCTGCCCTCCCTGGCCACCCCTCCAAGGCGGGGGTATTTCCCGCTTACTCTCAGACATCCCCCCACCCCAGCCGCATCTGGCTTCTCTCTTGGAATGAATATTACTTCCCTGTCCTCACCCGTCCCAGCTGCCACCCTTCGAGACACAAGCCATGACCCTCGAACTGAATCATGGACTTAAAGAGCCAGCCCCTCCTCTCCTCCTTCCCCATTTAGGGTAGGAGGCCCTGCTATTGCTCTCTTCGCCCTGCTAAGTCAGCTTCTGCTGACACACCATTCCATTTCTGGAAACTTCTAGCTGATGCTGTGGTACAATTAATATCCCTATAGTTCTCAGTTCTGGCTGTGCACCAAAGTTGTGGGGGGGGGGGGGACAGGGACAGAGGCTGAGAGGAGGGAAGGGGACTCGTGACTGGGCTGCATCACAGGTATTCCGGCTCAGGAGGGCTGGAGTGCGGTCGAGAATCTGTACTTATGGAAAGTTTTGCAGGTGATTCTCACCCACAGCCAGGATCTCTCTTCCAGCCACACCCGAATGCTCACCGTTCCTCGGACACGCCCAGCACTTTCGCCCCCACCCATGCCTTTGCTCCCGGGTTCCGTTTGCGAAGAGGTCCCTTTCCTGCCCCCTGTCTGCTTGGCCACTTCTCCTTCAGGGTCCAGTCCACTTCTCCTTCAGGATCCAGTCCGCAGCCCCTGTTGGAGGCCATGGCCGACCTCCCTCCCCGCACTTGGCCCTCCCTTCTGCCGTCCCACGAGTCCCTCCTGTTCAGTCACGGTTCGTTGTGTCTGGATCTGGGTTTGTGTCTCCCACAGTTCAGCCGTTGGAGGACAGTCACCCTGTCTTATTTATTCATTTCCCTACCCCCAGGGATTAGCCCAGGACCCGGCACACAGTAGGGCCTCAGGAAAGCTGTGTTGAATATGAATGTGGGCTCAACAGATCACCACACTTTTGACAAAAAAGTCGTGAGACTGCATTTCTGTTTTGTCACAGGCCACACTGGTCCTCCATCCACACTAACCCCTGAAAGCCATTCCAGCTGCCTGTCAGGAGCAGGGCACTTGACCCTGACCCTGGCCCTGACCCTGACCATAAAGGGTCAGCTCACCAGATTCACACTCTGCCCTTGACCGGGGATTTGTGGCTGCCTTGTTAGGAGTTTTCCAAAAGAGGTTTTTGGCTGATGGGCTGGAGTCAGCGATTTCAGATAACTCAGCCTGTGCCACCTTGAGTCACAGAGCTCCGCCCACCCGTGCCGTGCTGTCCCGCATTTCCTCCACCCTCATGTCCAAGTCCCTTTTAGAATGTTACTTCCAGCCACGAGCAGCCTTGCTGCAGGCTGGAGACAGGATTTCTTGAGACCGTCAGGGCGCCCCGGTGAAGTGGCTGCCTCGCTGGGGCCTGGCCGGCAAGGAGAGGATCCTCGCCCCTCTGGTCCCCACGCAGCTGGGAGAAACAGGGAAGCCCTGAGGGTCTTCACAGCCTCCCCTGGGGTGGCCCTGCTCTCTGCTTCCACAAACCACCCTGGTGCCTGCTCACGGGGCCTCTTCAGCACAGCCTCCTGGTCTCCTGGCCTAACTCGACTCCCCAGACCCACTGGCACTAGCGAGAACTCCCCAAAGTGCACACCTGCCCACCCCACTCCCCAGCCTAACACCCTGCAGATGCTCAGACCCAAAGCCAGACCTCTCACCAGAGAACCAGCCCCCGCTCTCTCCACCTCCTGGCTCTTCCCTCCGCTTCTGTCCTTGACCCTCGCCAAGTGCGTGCTGTCAGACCCTGACGGTGCTGTGTCCTTTCTCACCTCAACGCCTCATCCATCCTTGTTTTCTGAAACTCTGTTCATTCTTCAAGGCCCAACTCCCTTCCATTTCCACCTCCACCCTGCAGATTGTACAGTACAAGGAAAGATACCTTTTTTTAAGTATACAAATATTCCATCTTCATTATTAAAAAAAACTACAACTGCAGATAGGCAAAAAGATAAAACAAACACCTTTAATGCCAGACAAAATCTCTGTGGCGGTGATGTTATTCCTCTTGCTTTAGAATTCTAGTGATGTTGAGGAATGGCTGTCCCGGGTGGGCTCGGGCCATGGCCCCGTGCTGAGTGCCGCCGTGCGTCTCATGTCCTGTGAGGAGTACCATTGGCCCCACTTCACAGAGGAGGAGGCAGAGGCTCGGTGTGGTTATGTGCCTCACCCAACATAACAAAGCTGATTAAGTGGAGAACTGAGATTTGACCCAAGATTGATTGTAAGAACCCATAACTAAGTTACGGGGTCTGTAAGAACCCTCCTTATTCTGATGGACCAGAGATTCATTGTTTATACTCTAGATTCTGACACTGAGGAAATAACTTTCTGCTCCTAGTCAAGGTAAGTAAGTGATAGCTGCAACCGCAAACTAACCCTGAAATCTTCATGTCTTTGTTACTTCTTGTTCACTCACATCGCAGGCCCAGCACTGGTCAGCAGGGTCCTTCCATTGGCCTTCAGCCCCTGGCACTGAGAGAGGGTGGGCTGCTTGCACAGCGGCCTTGCCCCAGGTCTCAGGAGCTGCTGCCCAGGGGTGGTGTCATGACCTCTGGTGCCTACCAACCCCCATCAGCATTTCTACCTGGGTCGCTGCACTGCTCTACGTTTCCAGCTGTTGGAGGGATTTGTTTGTTTCTTTCTTCCTAGTTGGTAAAGTTAGTTGAGACACTGACTGGCTTCCGAAAAGCTCCAGAGGAGTTGAAGTGTCCTAGAAAGGAACGCGTACCCACCTTTTATTTTCAGAGGAACTCGTGCCAGTGCCCACTGAGGGCAGCCTGCCTCATTCGTCTCTTCATCTGTCTCCTCATCTGACAGATCCTCACTGAGCACCTCTCTCCCAGCCTGGGAGGCGGGCATGCGGTCCATGTGCTCAGAGATGTCGGGCAAGCTTAGCAGAGGCTCACTGTAAACCGAACAGAATTAAATTACCCTTGCGTGCACCTTTTGCAGGCCCTGGCTGGCCCGCTGCGTGCCCAGGTACGCAGAGACAGGTCCAAGCTTTCTTCTGGGTCCGTTCAGAAGAAAGAATCTAGTCACTTTGTGGCTAGATTACTTTCTCCAGGGATATTCGTTGCCATTTTTTTTTCTGCTTTCCTACCAAGTAAATCCTTTTGAGTCTCATTTTTTTCTCTCTTCAGCCTAAAGAAGTGGAAGCTGAACCCATAAACACACCTCCAACTCTATCGCCTCCCTCTGAGGATGTGGAGTTTTCTGGTGAGCCTACGCCGGAGGCGACCCCGGAAACTGCCAACCTGAGCGTCGTCCTGCACAGCAGCCCCGAGCAAGGCAAGTCCTGGGTGCACCTTCACGCAGGGCGGTTTTTTTCAATTGAGGATGACTGTGTGTCCAGCCTGGGTGACATATGGGATATAGGGCATCTCACTTAACCTTGTACATTTGACAAACAGATGGGGGAATCGAGTCACCCAGCTGTGGCTCCACGGCCTGTGAATGGTGGAGCTGGTTTTTAATCTTGGATAGCAGGGACCTTTCTCTCCCCAAAGTCCACCCCTCCTGAAGTGCCTGAGGTTTAACAGAAAAGTTTGTCATAATTGTTGCTGCTTATTAAATACTTACTATGTGCCAAGTGTTTACATACTGCATCTGCAAACTCAACCATGCATCTCCTGGTTGCTTTAATTCAATACGAGCCAGGATTTTACAGAGGGAAACTCCGGTGCTTAGATGGCTAAGTGTCATGCCCATAGTCACACAGCCAGTGAGTGGTGGGATAGAGCCCACGCCCAGCCTGACTTCCAGAATCCCCAGCCTTTCCAGCCTTAGCCACATGCTCTCCGATTCTCAGAGGGTCAGGCCATCTAAACGGCTGTGCGGCACGCAAGAGGAAACTAACTGATGGCCGGCGAGGGGCAGGCACTCAGGAGGCCAGTGGCAGGCCCTGGGTGCGGTCTACCCTCTCGGCTCCCCATCCAGGGCTCTGGTCCTTGCCCAGCCATATGGAGGAGCACTGGCAAAACCCCATGATCTGACAGCAGCTTGACAGGTGCCCAAGGCCGAGATAGGCCTGCATTTTCTGCCCTCCATCAGAGGGGTAGCCATTTCAGACTGAAGTTACAGCCAACCCCAGGGCCCCGAGATTTAGGCACAAGGTCAAAGCACAGCCCAGACGCCCACCGGAGGGGCCAGCTGAGCAAATGGTATTTCATGCCCGTGTGCCGCCCTGAAACCGCTGGTGCGGCAGACGTAAGGGCCCAGGGACACGTTCACGGTGTGCTCCCTGACAGGAGCGCCTCTCCAGACTGTGTGTGTGTGCTATGACCCTAATTTCAAATACGTGTTATTTATATTTACACCTGCCCTGTAGGACACTGTGTGTGTGCCAGAATAATATACAACAAGAGGCTACCAGCAGTGAGGTTTTCTGGGTGGGGGGAGCGTGGGTGGTTTTAATTTTCTTCTGCCGCGGTTCTGGAGCTGACATATCTTTTACAGTCTTACCTCTTTTTTTTACTTCTGCCATCAGTAAATGAATGTTATTTTAATAACGAAACTTGGGAAGGCTGTGGGTAAGAGAAGTATGCAGAACTGAATAGAAAAAAATTGCATGATAATTTAATAAAGTCCCAGTCCGGCCACGGAGCCAGGGTGTTGCAGTGGAAAGACTGGCGGGCGGGCCGGCGTGAGCGGGCCGGCGCGGGCGGGCGCAGACAGTCTGGACGGAAGCCCTGCGGAGCCACCTATTCGCTGCCAGGCCCGGGGCAAGTGGCTTAACTTCTCCAGTCTTCAGCTTCGTTAACTGTCCACTGGGGGCGTTCACAGTTTCCCCTGTGGATGGGAGGATGTGGACGTGGTTTGTGAATTGCAAAGCTGTTCTCCTGGGTGAAGTTGGGATTTCTGAGGACAGGCAAGGAGGGTCAGAGGCTGCAGGGCCCGGGGTGAGGGCCTCGCCCAGGCGGAGGGGTGAGTTGGAAGGATGTGGGAGCCAAACTGGGACTGGGACCCAGATCCACACACAGCTTGCCTGTTCCCTGGAATCAGCCAGACTCCTCTGGCAAACAAAAGGCCAAACGAAAACAATGGAGCTGGCCAGAATGTTCCCGTTCTTCTTGTTGTGTAGAAAATCTAAATGGTGAGGGAAATGGTTCTGAACCCTGAGAGCCCCGTCCCTGGCTAGGGAAAGCCGCCTAATAGTTTTATTCACGTTCCCCTGACTCCATCTTGCACCAGGGCACATACTACCCCCAACTCCATCCTCCAAGGAGTGGGGACTCAGAGGCCCGGAGTCCTACCAGCTGCTTACACAGCGCCTCCTGGTGGTGGTAACAGGGAGGATGCAAGCGAGTGACGGGATGCGTGCCTGCAGACTCCCTTGAATAAGGCAGTGCCTCCACCCTTCCCCCACCGCACAAACTGTTCATAGCAGGAGGCAAGCGTGAAAACAGCACATGTAGAAATGTCTGGGGGTGGGGACCGGTTGGCCTGGCTTCACGGGCTTCTCCTAGCCACTTGCTCTCTGTGGGGCCTGTTTCTCCTCTGAGGAATAAGGTTAATAAATTAATAAGGCGCTAATGTGCAGACCACAGCAGGATACACATGCCAGGCTGTGATAGTGTGACCGGAAATGTGGGGTTCTGTCCTGGCTCTGCTCACTAGCTGTGCAGGGGCAGGGAGGTCCTTGCAGGTAGGTCAGACGGGCCAGTAGGAAGATGAGGAGAGAGATGAGGCATGCTCAGCCTGCAGCCCAGCCTGCAAGAGACTTCTACTCATGTTAGGATAATTTCTTTTTCCTTGCTTTAGGACTCCATGTGTTTTTTAAATTGCACAAGAAGTATGTACTTGCGGTAACAGTTTAATCAATGCAGAGTTGTATCAACCAAAATTAGAGTAGTTTCCTGTACTTTCCTCTGGAGGAAATCAATGTTAAGTATTGTGGTTTAGCCAAGAGTGTGCTGTTTATCTGCATACACACATATTTCCATATAGATAGCTATATGTTATGTGTGCTATACAAGTATGTGAATTATATAACGTTGATAAAACGTGTGCACTCATACATAGCTTTCCACCCTTCACAAACGCAGAACTGAATTGACAATGAACACGCGCCGATTGCTAACTAACTCCACGCCAGGGGCTGTCCTTGAGGTTCTTCTCGTTTTCATTTATTTAATCCTTGTAGCATGCAACCTTCAAAACAAGCCCACCAGATCGGGATTTTTCCCAGTTTACAGACGAGGAACCTGAGGCACAGGTTAAATGACTTGCCACAGGTCACCGAGTGCCAAAGCGGGCGTCCAGTCCTGCAGCTGGTGACAGAAACTATGATTGAAACCACGTGTCCTATGGCCTTCAGTTTGCTCAGCCAGTCCCTACGCTGGGTGTCTGGGGTGTTTTTTGACCTTGTCCCTAAATCTCGCTGCTCTGGCATTGCCTCTAACTTTGGTCTGAAATGGTTCCCTCCTGTGAAAAAGGGCAGAAAAACAGCAGGCCGATCTCAGGCCTTGGGCATGTGTAATTCTGCCTTGGGTTTGTTTGTTTGTTCTAATTTTCTCTTAATCCTGTATCCTGGGCATCTCTTCAGGTCTGTCAGGGAAGAGGTACCTCTTCCTTCTCAGGACTGCAAAGCACAGTTATTAATCTCAGGGTGCCTGCTTCCTTAGGGTCTGGGGAGATCCTGAATGTCACACTGGAGGGGGCTGATGCTGTGGACAGGACGCCCCTTATGGACACAGGCTCGGGGGATGGGGCCTTCCTTCATGTCACTGAGGAGGTGAGTGAATGGTAAATTCCCCTTGATAAGTCAGTGCTAAATTTGTTTGCTTATTTCAGACTTGATGGCGACTTGTGTTGGGCACCGTGGAGACACCAGAGGGTTTTAGGTGAATGTGGTGGGGTCGGCATCCCCCAGCTGGAATAGGAGGCAGGGGTCCCAGGGCCCCAGAGGCTCTCGGGGAGGCACCAGGACAGGGGGAGGAGACGCAGCTGGTCCTCATACCTGCCTGGGGGTGAATGCTGGGTCCCCACCATGGTGCCCGCCTCCCTCCTGCCCAGCTGTCCAGTTGTGAGGATGCACAGCCTCTCCCGCTCTTGGAGCCCCAGCAGGACAGAATCAGATTAACTTCGTGTGTGTCCACTCTGTGGTTGGGTAATTGGCTTTTATACCCACAGAACCCATTGTTTTTATCATCACCCGGGGACATTTTTTCATTGCTTTTAGAGAAAGTGGGGAGAGTGGGGGGAGAGAGAGAGAAACACTGATGTGATAGAAAAACATTGATGTGAGAGAGAAACACCAATTGGTTGCCTTCTTGTACATGCCCTGACTGGGAATTGAACCCGTGACCCTTGGTCTATGGGATGATGCTCTAACCAACTGAGACACACCAGCCATAGCTGCAAAAACCAAATTTTAAAATGCTGGACACAGCTGGGTACCAAAGTAAAACAAATGGATTTTTCTCACAATGGCCTCTGCAGGGTCAGCTCATCCTTCCCACTGTCCTGGAATGAGAACAGAGACATCCTCACACTCTCCCTCCCTGTCACTACGTGATAACAGCCTATTTTTATAAGTAGTTTCAAAGTCCAGTCCAGCATAAAATGAAAAATTCAGTCCCTTTGTCTCCCAAATTCCAAGGAATACGTATCCAGCTCACCAAATGGCTCGTAGTGAGGAGAAGGGAGGGCAAAAGCCACAGCACACTTAAAATTCCCTCCAAAGGAATTCTCACTCTCTCAAAATGAATTCTTTTCTTTTTCTTACACAGCCCGGAGGCAGGTGATGGGCTAATGCTGGTAGAACTCAGTTCACTTCATTGTCTCTTAGCACGTCCAACATAAGTGGCCTGGTTCCTTCATTTAGCAAGTGGGAGGTACCTGATGACTGTGGAATTGTACTTAATTTGTACAATTAATTAGTTAATTATACTTCATTATAAAGCCCCTTGGGACTTTAGCTAAAGTTGCATCCGAAAGAGTCTCATTTTAAAGCCTGTGACATCATCTTCTCTCTGGGCTTGTGGGGGTTTTCCTTTTTGGACAGTGTTCTGCAAGGACTTAGTATGTTATATGAAAAAAGGTGCAGCTGTCAAATAAGTCTAGGAAACGCTCCACTTTACACCTTCCCCGCAGGCTCTGAGAAGTCCTGCAGCAAGGAAATCTGTCCAGTTTTCATCAGCTTTCGGTATCCAAACAAAGTACTGTTTGCAAACCAAAACGACCCCAAAGTTAAAAAACCACCACCACCACCTTGGAAACTGAGATAAACATAGTCAGTTTGCTGCCCCATATCCATTTCCTACACCTGCTGGGTGACCTTCGGAGAAGGCTGTGCATCCGGAAGGAAACTGAGTCACAGGGAAAGAGGGGAAGCAGGCGTCCAGCCTGAGAAGGCTGAGGGTGATGGGGTTGCTGCCTGTGCACCTTGAAGCGCTGTCCTGGGCAAAGACATTCAACCTGTTCTTCGGGCTTTGGGACGCGCACGCGGGAGAGGTCACAGGGAGGCGGACGCGTCTGGATAGATGTCTCTGAGCTGGAGCAGGCTGACACAGGAGGCAGTGACCTCCCAGTCATTGGTGCATGCAAACAGGTGCCCTGCACCTGCCCCCCATCCCAGGGCGGGTGCTGTGATTCTGGGACGGTCATGGGGCTGGGGTGAAGTCCAGACGAGAACGTGCTTTGAGGGAAAGAAGCTACGGGAATGCAGGTTGACGGAGGGCTGTAGACAGTCTGTTCTCCCCGGTACAGGCCCATGGCTCAGGCTGTGGGCCCAGTAACGCTGTCCCTCCTGCTGCCTTTGTTTCAGGGTCCACACACTGAAGCCGGTTTGGCGCCAACAGCAGCAGTCGGAGAAGCCGAGGTGACCGTCAGCACTGCAGCAGAAGCCAAGGTGACCGTCAGCACTGCAGTGGAAGTAGAGGCCAGCAGTGTGCCCACTGTGGGGCTGGCCCTCTCCATGTCCACCCAGGACCCCGGGGAAGAGGTCTCTTCAGTGAGTAGCTTGGAGTGCACGCTCCACTTCACCTCCTTCTGGGAGATGGTGGGAATCTCAGGTGGGAGCGGTCACCGGCCTTCCTCATCTGTCTGCAAAACGCAGAGCTACAGCCTAGTGGGGCCAAGTTCGAGCTGACAGCGATGTGGAGGCTGAGTTGTCCGTTGACTCATTCATTCAGCAGATGTCCATGGGGGGCTGCACTGTGCTGAGCACTAGGTAGATGAGGTAGATCGCCTCCTGGCAACAGAAGGCAAGAAGTGCAATAGGAGAAGCACACGGGGCTCTGGCAGCACCGGAAAGGGGGCCAGGACCCAGACTCATGGGCCCAGGAAGCCTCCCTGGGGAACAGGAGCTGAAGGGGAGACCAGGGGATGCTTAGAAGTGGCCTAGCAGAGGGGAGTACGGCAGGTGTTCCAGCAGGCGGGCCAGCAGGAGCCGAGGCCTGGAGGCATCACCAGGAGCACAGCAAGACCTGACATCCTGCCCGGCTATGGGGGGCGCAGTGAGTGACGGAAGGCAGGGAAGCATGGCTGAGGGGCCTCTGAGTCCGAGGAAGCCACGAGAAAACTCCTGAGAGTGTTCAGCAGAAATAAGGAACTGCTGAGGGTATTACAGAAGGAAGTGATGTAGTCGGAGTAGGTTTTAGGAAGGTCGCCTGACCCCGAGTGGAGACAGGGTCGGGGAAGCCAGACTGGAGCGGGGTGTGGCTGGGAGGCTGGGTCTTGTTCCAGGCGAGGGTGGTGTTGGCTCGCTCCGGGTTGGGGTAATGCTGGCAGATCCTGCCAGGGTTCCCAGTGAGTAAAGGCTTGAAGAGCAGGGCATGAGTGGGATCTGTCACAGTGACCTTTGGTGACCTTGGGGAGGGCAGGCAGAGGGCTCTGAGCTAGGAGAGTGAGGCGAGCTAACCCCTCCCACTAGAAAGCTGTGCATCCCAGGACCCCGGTGTTGTCCCAGAGCCACGACTTGGGTGCTCAGGGGAAGCTTCACTCTAGGAGTGGTGAAGGTGGATGGCAGGGACTGTGACAAGCACTGGTCACTGAGGTCGGCAGGGAGGAATAGGATGAACGTATAACCACCATACTGGCCGGGGTGCTCACACCTTGCGTGGTGTGTAAGGTCAAGGCCTCTGTGTGGGTGGCCCAGTCAGGACAGTGGTACAAGGTGAGGCCTTGGATGTGCAAATGCTTTGAAGGTGAGGGAGCAACAGGATGCAACTGTGGGAGGGGCCTGCCTGTCTGCTGCCTCCAGGAGCCGGGCTGTCTGTCAATCACTGACCTGGTCCCCGTGATGTCTTCCTATGCAGAGTCCAGATACCGAAGAAGGTTCAGCAGCGACAGCAATGGAGGAGGCCGAGATGCCCACCAGAACCGATGGGGAAGCTGAGGCCCACAGTGTGCCCACCGGGGGGCCAGCCCTCTTCATGTCCACCCAGGGGCCTGGGGAAGGGGTCCCTCTGGTAAGGTTGAAGTCATAACTCAGGGCAGACCCTGCCTTGTCAAGGGGCTAGTCTGCATTCTGTCCAGCAAATCCAGAGGAGCCCGAGTGGGGTGGGGTGCACCTTCCTGATCAGATACTCCCACTGAGGGAGCATATGGTGAATCCCCTGCCGGCCTGTGGGGAGCCTGCTGGAGGGGTGGGTGAGTCCCAGGGCTGGTACAGGGGCCACCGCCTCTGCCAGCAGGGGTCAGGCCCAGGGAGGAGGTGAGCCGGGCTGCGAGTAGAAGGGATGATGGAGGGCTCCGCCTTGGCCTGTTTCTGGGAGCGAGCACAGGGCGTCAGAGGGCAGTGGAGGGTCCGGGTGCAGCCCAGCAGGGTCCCGGGGCACAGCCAGGACTTGTCAGCCCTCTCCTCAGACATCGAGAGAACACTGTTCCCAGCTCCTGAAGGCAGGACACACATGTTCTGGGACACGTGGCAAGTCTGTCCCTATCATGTCACTAGAATGCGTGTCCTCCCATAATGTCACTAGAATGGGTGTCCTGCAAGTTCTTGGAGCTCAGCAGACTTCGACCTAGACTGCTCATTTCTGTTCCTCCTGAGTTCCCACCTCAAACGAATAGCACCATCATCCCCAGTCCTAATCCAGGATTCTCTTCCCTCTTCCTTCCTTCCCACATCCCCTCAGCCATCACGTCTTGTTGGCAGCACCGAGCCCTGGACTGAGCCACCGTCCCCAGCCCAGGTGCTGGCGAGGGTTTGTGCCTGGCCAGCCCCAGTGTCTCCCCTGACTCCTCCCGGTGGGGGCGGCCGTCCCGCAGACCCTGCTGCCCAGCCTCGCCGACCAGGTCCTGGGCCCCTCTCTCCCAGCTCTCGGCCCTTCAGCCTCACTGACCTTGCAGTTTTGAACACTCCTCTTTTTGCCTCAGGATCTCCCCATACCATCCCCTCCCCACCCAGAACCTTTTCCTCCTTCCTCCCCTCCTCAGCTGCGGCTTCACCTTCAGAGTGCAGTTCAAACACTGCTTTGTCTGGGAGATGCCAGCCCAGCCGGGGAGGTCCCCACCCCTCCCCACAGGCACCCGCACTTCTCCTGGGAACGCCTCACAGAACTGTAACCAACGAGAAACTTGGTCAGTAGCTCCTGGCCGGCTCCCTCCCAGACTGTGAGCCCTGCGAGGCGGGGATTACACACGTCTCATTCATCCATCTGTCTCCATCCCTGCAGTTGGTGGGCACTCGATGTGTATTTGCTGAGGGAATGACTGGAGTGAGTTGTCAGACATCACACACCAATGGCCCTGGCCTCTGAGACCCTCCCACACCTTTGCCCCCAGCCTTTCACCCCAGCCGAACATCGTCAACCCAGTGAAGCTTTACAGTGGGGAGGGGACGCCCTCACCCGCCGCCAGCTCTCCCGGCCACTGGGCAGTCGTATGGGTTATTTCAATGAACCCAAGGGTCGCCACCACCTTCTTTTCCTCCCGCTCCTTCACCCCTCATCCCTTGTCTTCATTTCGCTCCTCCCACCACTTCTTCCTTAAAGGCAAAGCCCTCAGCACAGGGTGAGGACAGTAGGAGCCAGCTGTGACTCAATAGAAACCGGAACTTAACCAGCAGGGCTGTCTGGGAACAGAGGGGCCACCTGCAGAGGTGGTGAGCGTCCAGTTAGTGCAGACATGCAGGCTTAGCTGTGCCGGAGGGGACCCTGGGGCGGGGGGACAACCCGAGAAGTCTCAGATGGGCAAGGGAAGGGGCGCTGTGGCCATGCCAGCATTCCGACGGCCACAGGAGTCTCCTCCCTGTGGTCACCATCCAGGGGTGTGGATAGAGTGGCATGGTCCCTCATGCCAGTTTTGTTTCAGGGTCCAGGCAGCGAGGGCACCTTGGCAACAGCAGCAGCCTCTGCAGAAATGCCCCTCGGCACTTTCGAGGATGAAGATGAGGAGGCCAGCGGGGCTCCCACCAGTGGCCCACCTCTCATCATAACCTCAGCAGCCCCCGAGCAAGGGGTGGTCACTTTTGTAAGTGTGTCCTAGCATTCTCTGCTACTCACCAGGGGTCAGAGGTGTCGGCATGGTGAGACCGAGCAGTTACCACCTTCCCAGAGGCAAATGCCCATTCAGCTTGTTAGAGCGCCGGGCGTGGGGGGGGGGGCAGGGGCTGTGGGTACTCTAACTGCAGGGAGGCAGGATGCAATGGAGGGAGCATAACAGAGAGGGTCAGGGAAGTGGATGTTTGTCCTGACCCTGCTTCCCCCTAACTTTCTCCAGGAAGAACTTTCTGGGAGGGAGTGGCTGAAGTAGGAAGGGGTTGCTGGGAGGAGGGGGTCAGTGAACGCCCCATCACTGGGCACGGGGACTTAGAGGAGACACGTACTGCGGAAGGGAATACGAGTCTGCGTGTCTGTGAATGTGTTGGGGCTAATGACAGTTGTAGGTAAGACTGTGCTTTGGAATCGGGCTAGTGCCGTAGAAATGACAGTCACCAAACTCACCGGCACGCGGCTGTGAGCACATTGCTTCATGGGGGAGGTGATGTGACTCCTCGTGTTGGTGGTGCCTTCAGGGCCCTAGTGAGGAAGAAGACTTAGCAGCAGCCACAACGGAGGAGCCCTGTACCACCGCCGAGGCGGAGGAGTCAAGCAGCGCTCCCCCCGAGGGGCCCCCACTCCCCATGCCCACGGTGACCACTCCTGAAACAACTGTGACTCCCAAAACAGCGGTGACTCCAGCCATGTCGGTAAGTAGCATAGAGGCGTGAAGGTCTGACCTGGCCAGCTTCACAGAGGAGAGACGCAAAGGCTACAGTCCTGGGAGGAGCCTGTCCCTGGCTTTCTCAGAGGGGGCTTTTCCTTTCGGTTTGCAAATTGCCCCGTTTGGGCACTGGAGGGGCCTCCAGCCTGGGAACACACAAGGAAGCTGAAGTTTGCGGAGGAAAAAGCAGGAGGAAAACTCTAGGGCACCTGGCTCTGTGTCCCACGTGGCCTTTGCATTGAAATGAGAATGTCCAGACAGGCACAGCTGACCAGAGATGCAGAGGCCCATCGCCAAGGTCAGGAGACTCCCATCTTCAGGCGGGAGACCTGAAAGGGGGGGTGGGGACTGCAGAGGGTGCGAAGCATCAAAGGTGTGCGTGAGGGGCCGTGACTGAGTCCCTTCCACCAGAGTTTCTGTGATCTTGGCCTGCACCCGCGCAACCTCACGCACACATCCTTCCTTTTCTTTGGGCCCCGTTTCCTGTCTGTAAAAGCGGGTGGCTGGGCGGTCAAGTCATTATACCAATCACGCTTCACATGTTCCACCTCCTAACAGCATATTCTTAGCGCAGAGCAGAGAGGCAGGCTGGAGTGTTTTAAAACCAATCCCAGACACCGTATCCTTTAACTCCCACGTGCTTCAGTGGGTATCTCTGTGACAAAGCGAACAATGGTTCTTTCCCACTCTCTGATACCATAGTTCAAAAATCTTTTCACTAACCTCTGTTTTCTCTTACTTATTGGTTGATCTTTTAGACAGAGAAAGGAAGGGAGAGAGAGAGACACTGATTTGGTTTTGCACTAATTTAGACGGTTGCATGTGCCCTCACCGGGGATCAAACCGGCAACCCTGGCGCACCTGGACAGCACTACTTGGCCAGCGCTTTGCTAGCATTGGGTTGCATCTGGGTCCAAACAAGGCCTACACGTTTCATTTGGTGAATGTGTGTCTTAAGGCTCTTGTGATCTACAGTTGTCTCCCACCTTCTTCTTTTAGCCGTCGATTTGTTGAAGAACCTGGGCCAGTCGTCCTCTGTGCTTTCTGCTCGGAGAAACTGGCTCCGGGTGGGGGCGTGGCCAGTGGGAGTGGGGACAGGTTTATCACTTCTGGGACATTCTGTGTCAGCACATATTAACGACCAAAAAACCGCACATTGTTGACCCAGAAACATCTAAGAACCCGTCGTAAAGGAGAGTCCAATGTGTAAGCAGGCTCTGTGCACAAGGATTTTAATCTGTGTTGTCCATAGCAGTGAAAGAAATTGGATGTGGTTTAACTAGCGAACGGGGGTTCATTGAATTAAAGTATATTCAAATAATGGAACATAGGCAGCTATTAAAATTATACTTATTCAGAGTATTTAATGATGGAGGGGGAATACCATACAATGGTAAGTGAAAAAAGCTGGTCATAAACTTGAACATGTTGTGTGGTCTTAGGTATTTAAAAACAGACGAGTGCAAAACCCCTGGAAGGAAATACCCTCCCGAAATGTTAGCAGTTGTTGCCTCAAAGTGGCAGAACGTGAAGGCTGCTAGGGCTCTAACACACGTGGGTGTTTCCCCCAGCCCCTGACGACTTTTACGATGGGATTTTTAAAGCTCGAAGGAGAGGAGTGTGGGGGAGGGGTGGTTGTGGGGGTGGGTGAGAAGGGAGAGAAGGAGACGTGAGCATGCAGTACTTCACTGTGGGATGTCACTAATGCAGGCTGATCGCCTGTGACTGTCAGGAACCTGCGAGGAATGGGAACGGATGCCCTGGTTCCTGAGCTAAGGGTTTCAAAGCACCATGGGGACAGTCAAGAGAGTATCCACGCTGGAGGGTCTTTGGGGTCATTTTAAATCTCAGAGTCCCTCAAGATAGTGGGTGAGAGGGGCATCCAAGCCTCTGTGCTCTGTTTTCATCTCTTTCTCTCTCTCTGTTTGCTCACAAATAAAATGGGCATCACAGTACCTACGCCTTGGGTTGTTGTGAGGATTAAATGAGTTAATACATGGAAAACTGTACCTCGCATATAGTACACGCTCAATCAATTAGGTATGTAGAGTTATTTTGCAGAAGAGGTTCAGAGAGGGTTAAGGGTTTGCTCAAGGTCACACAGCTCCCAGGAGTCGAGTTGGGTGAGTCTCACTGTCTGGACTTTCACGTTTGTTGTCTGCACTCTCCACAACCAGCTGTTTTCAGACATGATCCAGAAGTTGAACAGCAAATCCCACAGTGGTCCCAGTGAGGTCATTCCATTTCTAAGGTCATTCGAAAAATAATTGCCAAGAGCCTATTATCTGCTGGGTGCAGGCGACACAGCTAGCAGTTAGATATTAGGTAGATACTCAGGGTGTTTTGGGAAATTTCTTTTGTTCTTTGGGGGACTTGATGGCATCCAGCAAGTATGCGCTGAGTGTCTTCTTGGTGCCAGATCTCATGCTGGACACGGGGCACCCAGAGGTGTCTCAGGATTGGGCTGACCCGGGAGCAGCCCTAGTCTAGAGCGGCTGAGGGACTGCACACAACTGAGCTTCAAGTCAGGTGGCCCTGGCACCAAATCAGACCTCAACAGAGGCTAGTGGAAATACAAAAGAAAGAGAGATGAATTCTGTCTGGAAAATGTAATGGGGGAGGGCTTCATGGAGGGAGTGACCATGGAACTGGCCCTTGAAGGCTATGCAGGGATTTGAAAAGCCAGAAAGGAGGCTGAGGAGAAGACGTAAAAGCATATGGTATGTTTGAGGATGGGCTGCGTGTTAGCTGCACAGCTGGGGGTGGGGAGGGAGAGGGTAGCTCTAGAGTGGGGAAAAGGCGCCGGAAGGGCCAGAAGGACAGGTTGCAGCAGAGGCTGATAGAGCTACGGAATGTGGGAAAGCATTCAGTGACATGCTGTCCCTGGGGAGCTGCAGCTGAAACCAGGTTGTGAGACTTTGTTTTCCCTGCAGGTGGGAGTGGAGGCTGAGGGCTCCGGCCTGGGCTGGGGCTCCAACATCGACTCCGGCTCTGGTGACCAGGGGTGCGGTGAGGAGCTGCTAAAAGTAAGTGTGAAGGCTGACAGGGCCTGGCGTCTGGGTGGCCTTCACAATGACACCAGGTGAAACCAGACTGGCTGCCATCCATCACTGTTAAGGCTGAGGGTGGGCTCCTGGGAGTTCATCGTATTTTTCCCTCTTTATATATTTTTGTATATATTGTCTATGTCGATTGCTTTTGTTTTGTTTTAAGTGAGTATAAGCCTAATTTTACATTCAGGACCTCCACTTCGCCACCTGCCTCATTTCTGGGCAGCCTTCTCTAGGAGGTGTGTTCATGGCCTTCACCTCTACCAGTAGACTTCTACCTCTGACCCCTTACCCATTACAGAGACCTACTGGCCTCTTGTCTAGGTGGCATTTCACTGGCTTTCAGACTCTTGAAATCCACCTGCCCTGAGGTGACCCCCTGACTACCTGTCTATACCATCACGCCCTCAGGTGTTTCTTGCTTCTCTGGACTCCTGCCCAAGGCCAGGCCCCCACTGGTCTGCCTCTCAGTTGACCCCCAGGGAACACCTCCCTCCTTCAGCTGCAGCTGGCACCGTTGCCCCTGAGCCACAGCCTCAGCTCTATCTCTTCCTCTGCGCCCCTGTGCTGAATGCCCACACAGACGGCTCCACTCAGCTGCCCCTCTGCCTGGTCCTGGCAGGATCGGACGGGTTTAGGGTTCACTGCACAGGTTCTCCAGGCTGATGGGATCGGCCAACCCGGACAGAAGATAAAGAGACTAGCACAGTGCAGGAAGCTTTCTGATGACAAGAGTCAGCACAAAGGGCAGTTTTTGACTGACTTCTCTATTACTGAGAAAACTAAATTAACCAGAACATCTCTGAGAATTCCAGTGAATTGGGTTTTTATTGTATACATACACCTAAGGAAAAAACACGATCTAGTGTGCTCAGAAAGACCTGGATTCCAATGCCAGCTCTGCTGCCACGTGGGAACACCATTCTCTACTTGTAGGGTTGTCATGAGCAGTGGAGAGAATGTGTAGAACATATATGCTCAGTGTATACTTGCATTTATCACCTCCCCTGTTGTTCCTTAACAGACTGTCTTTTTTTAGGGTCCCCCAGGCCTCCCAGGCCCCACAGGCCCACCTGGCTTACCTGGGATTCCAGGAAAACCAGGAACTGATGTTTTCACGGGACCCCCTGGATCTCCTGGAGAAGATGGAGCTGCTGGCGAACCTGGGCCCCTGGTAAGCCACCAAAGTCATGTCTCCTCTCTGTGGCCACAGGTCTTCCTTTAGGCAGGGAGGGACACACAGATTGCAGTGCCCAGCACCAGCCTGAGCTCACAACGGGGAGTGAGCAGCTAGCTCTGTTTGTAAACAAAAATCCTCAGCCAAGTCATTGCTAAGACTCTTCTGAGAAACAGCAGAAGAAAAACATCATCCTACACATCATTCTGCTGCTTTATCTCAGTCAAAAGAGGAAATGCAGACTCACGTGGAATCTTAGAGTTGTAGGATGTCCGTGTGGGGCCTGGGGTGGGAGCCCGTCCTAGGCCGTCTCGTGCGACCCTGCCCCTGATTCCCCCACAGAAGAGAAAATGTGACCGTCATCTGCAGACATTCAGCTTCTGCTGGCCCAGGCCTGGCATTCCACCGTGCACCTGGTCCAAGGACCTCACCTGTGGGGTCCTCCCAGGCCTGGCCTCTTTTTCTGGGGAGGGTTTGTACGATACTTGACTCTCATCAAGGATGTCGTGGGCTGATTGTCATTGACGTTCCCCAGGGCCCCGAGGGACAGCCTGGACGTGACGGAGCCTCTGGCCTTCCCGGGGTGAAAGGGGAGAAGGTATGAGGAACGTGTGAGCCCCCAGGCCCACCCTGCCCCTCTCTGGCCTCTAGGTCTGACCTGGCCTCTTCTGTGAATGACCCTCTCCAACCCCGATGTCTCCATCCGGGGCTCTTTATGCCAAATCTGAACTCGGCATCTTCCCTGCGTCCTCCTGCATGTCCCCAGCTTCAGTCACCTGGACTCAGAAACAGAGACTACTCCAGCTCTTCCTTCCTCTCCTTTTCTGGCTATGATCTGTCCGTTGCCAAGACTGGCCAATCTGTCGTCCACAGCTCTCGCCTCTCTGTCTATCCTGGTCCGACATCCATCTCTCCTTGCCTACACTGCGGCATCAGGCTCCTCCCTGGTACCCTGTGCTCCCACCCACAGTCCCGCCTCCACCCTACAGCCCAGGCCACTTCCTACAGTGGGTTCTCACTGCCCTTCTCTGAGGAAAGAATATCCACGTCTTTCCACAGCCTCCAGGACAAAATCCTAACTACGCGCAGACCCCCAAGGCCCTTTTTGACCCGCCTTTCTAGCTCCATCTCCCACACGGCCTGCGGCCCTACCGAAATGCTCTGGGCATGCTCTCCCTCCACAGCCTCCTGGCCTTTGCACATGGTTTTCTCTGCCTCAGATGTCCTTTCCCTCTGCTCATCTCCAAGGCCCCTGTGAGCTATGTTTCCTGGGAAGCTCTCCCAGATTCCTTCTGAGCAGAAAGCACACCTCCTTCCTCCACTTCCCATCAGCACAGCATTTATTCTGCAACAGCGCTGAAGCGGTTAGCTTACCTTTCTGCTCCCTACCGCCACCCTGACAAACACAAAATGACATTATTGCCTGTGAGTCCCGAAAACCTAGCCCAGGCTTTCCCTTTGATGAATGAGTGAGATTCTGTCACGCCCCATTTCAGTCTCCCATTCCCGGAGGCTTGCGTGCCTTCACTCCAGCATCCTCTGCAAGCTTGCCTGTCTCCTGTCTGTGTGCCTTTGGTGGCTCTGGGGGTGAGTTCCTGCCTCTCCAGTGTTCCCAGACTGGTGGAGGAGATAAGCCACGTCCTGGGAAGGAGGACAGTAAAGATAAGGTCAGCCTCCTGGTCATGCAGGCTTGAGTTCCACTGGGGCTTCAGGGGAAGGCGAGTCTCTCCCAGCTGGGATGTGGGGCAGGGACTCCCCTGTCTGCCCTACCTGGATGAAGCTGTGGAAATTTCCTAGATTTCATCATCCTCACTGAACTGATTTTCCAGCTTCCGTCAGCTTGCAAGTGTGTGTATTTTAATTGAAGCAGTAACTGGATTTTCGTGGAAAGCTCATTTCTCAGAAAAAAAAAAAAAAAGAAACAACTGTCAGCTTTATAGAATTCATTTTACATGTACCAGCTCTTTCAGAAGAAATTAAATTTTGCAGGAAACACCATAGACCCACACTCCTCTTCCCTGCTCTTACCAGCTTCTCCCACCCCCGCCCCTCCCCCCCCCACCCCCACATGCTTGTCTGGCACTTGAAAATACCCACGCCCATATCCGCACACATGCTGGCACAGGCACACGGTGGCTGCGGGGAGAAGCAGCCATGCTCACCCCAAGGAACCGTGGGAGACGAGTCACATTCCCCCCCCCCCGAAGTTTGCTACCAGTTTGCTGATTTGTTGCACTATGTATGTCTGTGATGCTCTCTGGTGAGGTGAAAACAGAAGCAAGCACTACAAGAACTTGGAAATTTGCATCTGGAGAGCTCAAGGGGAACCTTGCCCATGACATTTACACCCCCACCCCTCTCAAAAAAAGGGGTAAAACCAAGGAGTGTGGAGCATGGTCTGGATGTAAAATAATAAAATCACGCTAAAGAAAAGGAAGCATCTCAGGGATATAATGCAACAAAAGATCCAAGTTCCTATGTCTTGAGGACATCTGATCCTCGAGTCCCCTCTGTAATATCTATTCTTCAGCTTGCACACCTCCATGGACAAGGGACTCATCCCCTGCCCAGGCAGTGCCTTCCGTGGACACTTGTAGGGAGGCCTTTCCTCGTGCTGCGAGGAAATGGGCCTCTGTTCTCACCTGCAGGGCATGTAGACAGGTTTAGGTGGTCTTCTGAAATAAGGTTTTTCCCCAAAGGCCCAGCTTCTGGGGCTGGTATAAAACACTGTTGTGTGTAACCATTCTTGCAAATGTGGGGTTGCCATCACATGTGGATGTCAGTGAGAACTTACCAAGTAGATAATTCCATGTTGAGTTCCATGATACACGTGTCCCTTACTTTATTTTCCCCAAATTAAGATGAGCAGCTAGCTGATTCTGAGATCTTGAGCACGCAAGGGAGGGGTGAGGAGTAGCCCACTTTCTCAGACACAGAACGCTCCTGGAAAGAGCACCGAAGGACCTGCTGGAGACGGACCTCCGGAACATTCCTTCCAGCTTTTTGCACCACAGATTCTGCCGCTGGGGTCCGCAGCACCTACCTAGGACTAACTGTGTCCTTCTTTTCCTTCTCTTGTAATCTGAATCATTCGTGGTCGTCTTCGGTCTCAGCAGGCGCCCGGGCATCCAGGTAGAAAAGAATTTGTGCTTTGAGATTCTCTTCAGTGCCCGGAATTGCTGGGCTTTGAGTCATCTCACTGAGCTGCCGAAATGTCATTGTTTGCCTTGTGAAAACCAGCTACGTAAGAGGAATGCAAATAAATCATGACTTTCGCCCCTTTCTCCCAGTAATGCCGCTTGACATGCGGCAGTTCTCTAAACCTCGTGTGATAAAGAACAGGGTCCTGCTCCAGCGGTCAGGGGCTCTTAACTAGGGTCCAGCCATGGGTTTAGAGCTTGTAACAATTGATTCCAAGTAAACATTCTAGTCGTTGGCCCAATTTCCCATTTTATATCTTATTTTGACACCGGATATGTTTGGTATGAGACCTGAATTATAGGCCTCCATAAAACTAAATAAACTATGGTCTCTGGCAATTGTAGACATATTGAAGTTATTGGTATAAGAAAGACCATGAGCAAAACCAACAGGCAGCCGCAGGCAATTAGTTGTGCTGTCTCAGAAACCACAACAAGGGGGGAAATCCATGTATTAATATTTATTAACTTTTCTGGTGTTCCTGTATGACGAAGCCTAACCGTGTCCGTAGCAAACCCAGCTACCGTAACGAGCTGAAATCTCGCACGGATTCTAAACCGTGACTTTGCAGCGTACAGACTCCCTCCTTCCTGCTGCTGCTTCCTCCCCGTGTGTCTGTCCTGTGACCCGTCTCTCCACACCACGCCCTCACAGCCAGGCTTGCGGTTGTGCCGGCTGGAGTGCCGAGGCCGTGCCTGGTCTCAGCACACCATGCTCCCACTGAGCGTGGAAGCACAGCTCTGCCACCACCATTGGGGGGCTGCGGCATCTTCGCTGAGCCTTTGGACTGGGGCTTCCACTTTTCCCTCTCCCTGTTCTTGTGAATTCCAATGAGAAGAAACCTTCCGTCCCCAAGCCGACCTGCTCATGTTCCAGAACGGCAGTTGCGGAGTCTGTGGGCCAGGGGAGTGGGCCCGGATACTGTCTCTTTGCGCAGTTCCTCTCCTCAGGTGTGTCTCTTCTGTCACTCAGCCCTTCCACAGGGTTCGTTCCTCCTACGGTTGTGTATTTTTATTGCTAAGACCTCTGCTTGATTCTTTCCCATAACCTCTGGTCTCATTTCATAAGAGTGCACCCTGGTTTCATGACCATAATACACGCCCCCCCTTTCCTTCCTGAGAATAGATCTCATATACTTCAGGTGCAGCTTGGACTGTGTCCCTAATGCTGTTTCCTCAGGCCTCCATTCCATCATTGATTCCATTGTCTCTCATAGTGTTGTCTTCCCTCGGATGTGTGGTGTTTCTTGCTTGTGCATTTGCTTTCAACATCGGAGTTCCTCATTGCTCTGTCTTCTGCGTGTGTTTTTACAGATTGTTGGGAGTTGGGCAGTAGCTCCTTCTGGGACATGCAGGTTCTGGGAAGAGGATAGGGGCATAGGATGTGCTATCAGGCAGGCACCTCAACAGCTGATCAGCTGGTCTTGTGAGGTTTGGGGTACCCCTAGACCTCCCAGAGTTCCCTGGCCCCTGGGGCTCTGCCCCATCCTTTTGCTCCAGGAAAGAACAACTACTGTCCTTGTACTAGCCGTGGGGGTGGGGAAGGGAAATGGGCAGGGCTCCGTGGCTGTGCCCTGCTCCCTAATTCCATCCCGTCTCCCTGTCTGAGCCACAGCCCCCTCCTGGAAGTGGCTTCCACTACTGCTTTGCCTGATACTTTCCTCCCCTGGTTTCTCTCCACGACTAAAGCCTCTGGCTTCAGCTTCTCATGTGTTTTCCCTTTGCATTCTTCACCACTTCAGGTTCAACGTGACTCTCCACTCTGAGCGTGACTCTTATGGAACTATCCACTCTGTCATTTCTATGGAATGGGTATAGACAAGGGAGCCTCATCCAGGGAAGTGGGACTGGGGAGAAGGCCACAGACGTAGGTGGCAGGTACCTCGCAGTCAGGCATCAGGGCCTTCTGCGTGGCCTTGCAGCTGCTGACTCCTTCTCTTGAGGGTGCTTTTGGGGTTTTCTCAGTGATTCTCAGCTGCAGCCCCCTGATGTAGGACAGTGTCTCCTGTGGCTGACTGCTCCTGAGCACCAGCCCCTCTTGGTCCTCCCCTCTGCCCAGAGCTCACAACTGGCTCCTTTCTGTGGGATCCACATCTAACCTGACCTGGGGCCCCCGCTGGGGAGTGGCACGCATCCCGCTTTAATGCAACACATCGCCGCCCCCGCCGCATTCTGGGGCTACTTGGTCTTTAGATTTTTCTCAGAAGAGAGTCAGTCATCACTCTACGTATCTCCAAAAGTCTAGTGAACACATACCAAGTTCCAGAAGCCCCTTCCTTCGGCTTTGAGTGGGGGATGCGCCCCTTTACTTCCATCATGGGAGGGGCGGGGACAGGGGCCGCCCAGTACACTGTCACCCCTTCAAGGGAATTCTTCCTCTACCATCTCTCCATGGTTAGTCACTCTTCAACTTCTCCTTTTTACTCTCCAAGTAGGTGATGAGCAAAGAGCTGAAAAATGGGTTTCACAAGCTTTCCGCCCGACTTGCCCAGCAAACTGACAATCCCTGAAATGCACTTGGCTTTGAGACATCAGTCAAAACCAAGACAGAAAGAGTCCCATTTAAATAGCCTGTTGCTTAAGAGTCCATAATTCTACATTTTCTTCTGTACGTACCTAATGAGCTATGTTAATTAGCCTTTGTTTGTTTATTTGTTTGTTTGTTTTTCAGGGAGCAAGAGGGCCTAATGGTTCAGCTGGTGAAAAGGTAAAAAGAAAAAGCAAAGCGTTTTCCTCCTCCCTCTGCTCTCTCCGGGTTGACTATAATTGGACTGTTGGGCTGGAGTTCAGTGTATGGAGCAGAGAGGAGGGCGGAATAGCTGAAGTTTTCTCCTCCCTCCCTGCTCCACACAAATGCACTCAAAGGACTGCCTCGGCCTGTCAAGTGCAATGTCAATTAGCCAGACAGCTGTTTGTGTACCATCAAGCAGTACAGACCAGAGAATTCATCAATCTAATTAAGCAGAAATGATTTTCGGACTTGGGGTATGTGGTATTCTTTCCATGAGTGAACCCAGAGCTGGGTGGTCAGCCTGTCCTCTTCCCTACAGGGTGACCCCGGTCACAGAGGCTCACCGGGACCCCCAGGGAAAAACGGACAAGCTGGCACTCCTGGGACCATGGGACCCCCAGGGCCTCCTGGACCCCCAGGACCCCCAGGCCCTGGATGTGCACTGGGACCTGAATCTGAGGTACTTTCACCCTTTACTTGGTTGAAGGACGGTGTGCCCCAAGGGTGACTGGGAAGGCCAGGACAGTGAACACCGGTCTGAGGGCCGGGGCTGCGCTGATTCCCACCAAGCTCCAGCTCCCCGGACCACACCTGGCATAAGTAGGTGCTCAGGAATTGGATCTGAAATTCTCTTTCTTCTTCCTTCCCTAGGATACCGAAGGCTCCGGAAGCGTCATGCTCCAGCATGGACCCAGACTCTCTGGAACAATAGCTTCAGTTGTAGGTTGACTTTTGAAACCTCCATTCTGAGGAGTGTCATGCTGTCACGCTGCAGTGAGGGGACTGCGGTGCCATCCCGGCTCTGCTACTTTCAGTGTCACCCTCTCTGTAGCTCCCGCGCCCGGCTGTGCCGGGGGACGCTAGGCACTCTTTACAATGTGTTTCTTCGAGAAGCAGCACAGAAGTCTTGCACAAAACATCCTGTGGGAAAACTTGAAGATCGTCTTTCTCTCTCTCTCTCTGTAGCCCCTCACCACCCAGCGTCTCTGCTCCATCGCCTCCTGCTTGCTGCCCCATTCCATACTCACAGTTTGACCCCTGTCCAAGCCCACGCTCCTGACAGGTGCCCCTCCCCGCTGCGTCCAGCCCCAGGGAGGTCGGACGTGCTGTCCATCTTTTGCTGTGATACCTGGACCTCATTCTCTTTGTGCTGTGGCACCCAGAGCTGAGCACCTGGGCCAGGAGGAGCCTCACCTTGCCCGGGGAGCACACAACCCCCTCCACGATTGACTAGGAAGAGCTCCCCCAGCCCCCAGAGGCAGAGGACTCTGAGATTTAGGGCCAAGAGCACACTCACCCTGTGCTGGGAGAGGACCTCTGGTGTCCTTGCTCTCTGCTGGGTGTTCCTTCTAACTCTGGGAGGGGAACTTACCCCTCATCTCCTGCTTCCCTTGCCTGGGACAAAATCCATATGAGAGTGTATAGAGAGATGGTGAGATCCAAGGATAGAGAGAGAGTGAGCAAAGTGAAGAGAAAAAAACACAAAGTTATCTGTTTATTTTGCCAGGGCCCCAAAGGAGAAAAAGGAGAGCCGGGACTCAAGGTGAGGTCGCAGGTCCGAGGTGGGGTGCGGACTGTCCAGCCTGGTGGTGGGGGCGTTGTCCACATGCAGTGAATTGTTCCCCCCCTCACTGTTGTTTCCAGGGTGAAAGAGGGATGGATGGAGTCAGTGCTGTGGGACCCCCTGGGCCCAGGGGGCCACCCGGGTGCATCGAGGTCTTGTCTAGCGTGAGTATCATCTGGGTCAGAATGTGGCTGTTTACTTTCTGCCTTTGCTGAAGGGGAAAGAAGGCTGTCCACAGCGTCAGGGCCTTTGGGGCTGGTGGTTATCCAAGAGACATGTAGCTGGCGTCTGGCTTTGGAGTTTCCATCCGCAGGCGCGCCCGACCTGTCTGTGTCTACCCTGGTACCTCTGTTCTCTCACACGGCGCTTCCAGAACACTCTCTTCTGGTTGGCAGCATTTGTCATCACGAGAATGCCTATAAGAGAGAAACAAAGGAACATAAGTGGGGATGCGAGGGAGGAAAGACTGTCTGGGATATGATAAATCAAGGAAGACTTTCTGGAGGAGGTGACTTTGAGCAGGCACTTGAATGCTAAGAATGATTTCCCTACATCAGCACGGGGAACAGGACTCTGGAATTCAGGTGGCAGGGCACTCTGATGCAAAACGCAGAATAAAAAAAGTGTGTGTGTCCAAAGCACAGGGAGCTAGTGGGCATGGGGCTGGGTAGAGAGTGATGGAAATTCGTAGAGAAGACTGGCATGCCGGCTGGGACCAGGCCGTGGTCCACTTAATGTTAGGGCCCCACAGTTGTGAAAAACTGTGGCCCTTCTGAGAGAAATGATCTCGTATGGTAGACAACAGTCAAAACATCCCAAATGATTTTTAAAAAGATAGCCAGAGTAAAAAATATCTCATATATACGATTAAAAATATCACGTGTGGGTAAGGGTGCGGTAAAATGGACGCTCTCACATGCTTTGGTGGAGTGCAAAGTGCATGACCCTTTACACAGCTTTCTGGCCATTTGCGAGCCTGTGCCCCTAAACTCCACGTGGGAAGATTTCCATTCTCTAGGGTTGAGTGAAAAAAAGCAAAGTGAAGAATAATACACACAGCCTGATGCCATTCATGTGAGATCACCACATGAAGTACAGCATGGGGAATGTAGTCAATGACATTGCAATGTCCGGTGTAATGAGCATTGTAGCCTAGATGGGCACTAGGCTTATTGGGGTGACCACTCTATAAGTTACATAAATGTCTAAGCACTGTATTGCACACCTGAAACTACTATAATGTTGCATGTTAACTGTAATTTAAAAATGAAAAAATTTAAAATAAAATAACTACATGGACTCACACATGCATACATACACACACCAATGCTACAAGCTTTCTGTGAACATATATATACATATGTACATATAGATAATTTTTAAAGAGAAGGCATTCATATAGTAGGCAATGTTTAAGACTGATTGAAAGAAGAAGGTAACAAGGCGGCTCTGAGCTACTTCCTAAAGAGTGGGAGCAATGGGTGTGGGCTGGCCGTGGGTGTGGGGTGTCATCAGCCTGCCTAGGTTCTGCCACGCTGGCTGACTTTAATTAAAGCCTCGCTGCCGGGAACATGGTGGGACACGTGCCACCTCTGTCCCCTTGTCTGGTTTTTCCCTTTTCAGTCTTTGATCAACAACATCACTCACGGATTCATGAACCTCTCGGACATCCCTGAGCTCGTTGGGCCTCCGGTGAGTATCCGCAGCTGCCCTAGACTGAGGCTCCCACCCAGATGCCCCTGCTGAAACTGGGTCGGGTTGGTTTGCAATCCTTCCAGCTTCTGAAGCCTAGAGCTAGACTACATCAAAGTAGAATGGAAAGAGAACTTTGCATTTCTGAGAAGTTGCTATTGCATTCACTTGATCACACAGGGAGTTTTGTCCAATGCCGTGGAAGCTCCCAGTCCCACGCATCAGACATGTGAGCAATGGAAATCAGAGAATCAGAAGTGATAAACCGATGGATGTCTGTGCAGCACTTTTGGCCTGCTTTTACCCACATGATCTCATTTCACAGAATAGCGAGAGCCTAGAGAGACCCACCCCCGTGCTAATGGACACACTGGCACTTGAGGAGGTTGCGTGACTTGCTTCAGTCTTTCTAGCCCCCTTGTAGACATCAGGAACACGCAAAGAAGCTGCATTATTTCTGCAAGTCCGCACAGTCAGTCCATGGCACAAGAAGACCTGAGAGGAGGGAAGCTTCCTCCCGCAGCCTGGGCAGTCAACCCCACTGCATCTTCCAGCGCCTGCTCATGACAGCCGGGGAGGGGGAAGAGCTCTCCCCGTAGGAGTCTTGGGGTTGCAGCCCTGTCTCTGCCACACACCACTGAGCCTCTGAGCCTCTTCTCTGACAATACCTCACCAGTGTGGGGGCCACTTATAAAGAAGTTGTGGATGTGAAACAGCTTTGCAAACCATGGCACTGTATGTAGGCCAACGGGGAGATTAAGGCTTGTCATTCTACAGCTGTGTAGTCCAGCTGTCTGCGGGGGCCACCTGCTCCTGCAGTCCCCAGTGAGGTTGGCTCGGACCCCCAGTGTCTTCGTCAGGGCCTCTGCAGATAGCCTCGGGAGGTCCTCTAGAGCTGGTTTCTCCTGCTGCCTCTGTTGGCAGGTCATCACACTGTGTCTTCTGTACTGTATGTCATGGGGGCCCCTTTCCTTGATTTCTACCATAATTACCTCCAGTAATTAAACCCTACAGCAAACTAGCTAACAAGCAAAAGTCCGTTCACAGAGGGTCTTGGTTTTGCCCAAACTATTAGAGGGCTAGGGTGGGTCCATACTAAAGCAGAACACAGATAGCCCACAGTTGGAGATTCGGCATCTCCATTCTAGGAGTCCCTGGGCCTTGTCTGCCTGCATCGCTGTGCCCCACCTCTAGCATCCTCCTTCCTCCCCAACCCCTGTCCTCTTCAGCAAATCCAGGCCCCTTATTCCACCCAGAGAAAAGACCTGAGTCTCACCCACATGCCCCCGCTTCCACCCTCAAACACTCCAGAACACCCTTTGTCCCCATTCCTCAGAGTTTAGGGATCTGTTTTCTAAGAGTATTTGTTGAAGTCTCATCACCCTGCCCCACCCCCACCCCCCCACACCCTGAGGTTTCAGACACTGAGTGATTTCATGGAGGGGGAGGAGGCAGTGGCCACTTACAGTGCAGACAGGTCTGGCTCTGGGGGGTGGGGGCTCTGGGCGTCTGGGCACAGTTTCTGGCTCTGCCACTGACCAGCTATGTGACAATGCACACAGTTCTGTCCTCTCCCGGACCTCCACATCCTCTCCTGCAAAATGGACCATGAGCCCCACCACGTGGGAATATGCGTCAGCCTTTGGGAGGTGCTGGGAGGGGTGGGCCCCTGAGGCACAGCGCTCCTGCCAGGTCTGGAATTGCCCCTAAATCACCCGCTTTGTCTTCGTTGTGTCACAGGGCCCGGAGGGCATGCCTGGGCTGCCTGGGTTTCCAGTAAGTACCGCAGTGGCCGCCTTCCCTCCGTGCCCCAAGGCCATGCTCACTCTGTTTCTTACGTCTGGAATGCTGCTCTCCATCCTGTGATCAAGCTCTGGCACCACGTTGTCCATGATGCCCTTCCCCATTGTCCCCTACCTGGAATGGCCCCTCCCTCTGTTCCGTTCCATACAGCTTTACTTTCACCTCTGCTGCGGCCCTTTTCTGTCTTTAGTAACAGTTGTTTGTGTCCTTGTCTTTTTGCCTCGACTGCCCTGTGACCACCTTGTGGAGGGTTGGGGCTTACTCACCTCTCTCCACCCAAGGGCCAGCCAGTGGTTGGCTTCCCATCAGTGGGGGTGGGTAAGACAAGCATTTCAAGTAGATACAGTGGTGAGATCCTGCAGAGTGAGGAGGGCAGCAGTGGAGGCTGGGGGGAGGGGAAGCACAGACTAGACATCCAATAATTAATCATCTATGTGCCCCACACTCTGGGGCTTCCACCGTGGAGGGGAAAGTGCATTTCTGTGTAGAAAGTGCTCTAAGGTATCTCGCCCTTTAACCCAGAAGACGACAAGGGCTTGTCAGAAGCCAAACAGCAGTAGTGTCAGAATGCCTTTTGGGACAGATGCTGGCTAAGCAAGTCACACATAGTGTCTGCTGGAGTTGAGAAGAGGTGGCCTTTGTCTGGGAGTGCAGAATTGAGCTGTACGAGGGGGTGGATGGGCATTCGCACAGGAAGAATGGCATGAACAGACGTGCAAAGGCAGGAGGGAGTGCAGAGAGGGTGCGGGAAGAGGCTCACCCCCAGGGGTGCAGTGGGGAGTGGAAGGTGCAGTGCTGAGGCTGCCGGGATGGGTTTGGGTCTCGAGCCAGGATGTCTGGATACCAGCCCACAGGGAGTGGGGAGCCAGAGCAGGGGCGAGAGTCATGGAAGGTGGATAGAGGGGGGAGGTGGGCCGCAGCGTGGCCCGGGAGACCCTCGGGGAGGCAGAGGCAGCGGGACCAGGTTGTTTCCACAGTGCCCATCGGAGGAAACCCAGGTTCAAAGGGGCGTGGGGTTCAGTGCCGTCTTCCTTCCCTCAACACAATTTCCAGACCACTTAAATCTGGGAAATACCATGACTCTTCCTACTAGGAGAATGGCACTCTCTATTCTGCGAATTTTGGGAAAAAAACCAACAACTTCTATTTGGATAAAGCACTTCAATTTTAACAACCAAATGCTCTCCAATGATTCCTCTCAGGGCCCCAGAGGACAGAAAGGAGACACCGGTGTACCTGGATTTCCGGGACTGAAGGGAGAGCAGGTAGGAGGGGCCCAGGTGTCCGAGTGGAGTCTCCAGCGTTGACTGAACATTTCAAACAGGCTGAAAGTAGCTATTCACTTTTTAAAAAACTTTTGAGAGATAATTCACATACCATAAAATCCACCCCTTTAAACTACAAAATTCATTGATGGTCTTTAGTATATTCACAAGGTTGCACAACCATCGCCACTACCTCCTTACGGAACGTTTTCGTCTTGCCCGAAAGAAACTCCGCTTTCTGTTAGCGGTCACTCTTCAGCCGTTCGCTTTCACGATCCCCAGGTTCCTGCAGATGAAGGCGGTCGTGGGTGGGAATATTGATTTTCATCATAGTTTGAAAAAAGAGCTCAACCAACACCCCCTTGAACGCGGCTACCGCACGCGCTGTGCTTTGTCTCACTGGCCCAGGGGCATCCCCGTGAGCGTCTGTGTCCTTGTGGGCAGACTCAGCCTGTGCCGTTTTCACTGCCCCAGTGCTTAGTGCAGGGCCCGACACACACACATGGCGCTCCAACTTCGGTCTGCCGGATCGAAGAAGATCCAGTTAATGGCCGTCCGGGTCCAGAGTCTTTGGGATAAATATCTGATATGCAGAGCACATCCTGGGAATGTCCAGAGCACTGAACTGACCTTTGTACCCTGCACATGTGCCCCTTAGAATTAGCTCACCGGGCGGTGTTTATAGAGAAGGGAGAGCAGTGGCATCCACACACAGATTGCAGAGACGCTGCAGTGCACGCATGTATTCATCCACCCGTTTGTGGAGTCATCCGTCTTCTATCCATTCCCTAAGATAATACCAGCCAGGTTCTCATACCTGGCTCCAGGGATCTAGAGATGAGATAAGAGGAATAGGCATGCAAAGAGCCAGCAGAAGGTGTGGTCACTGCTGTGAGGGAGGTCTGTGCAAGGCCAGAGGAAGCAACTGCTGAGCCTGCCTTGGGGAGTCAAGGAGGGTGGGGTGTCTCTAAGAGGAGGGAGGGATACAGAGTATTAGGCTGCTCTCGTTCCTCCCTCCCCGGGCCATTCCGCACTAGCCCCAAGGCAGAGAAGCATGGGGATTGACATCCAGTGTCTCTCGGACCACAGTTCCAGGAGGTGAAGGGTTCATTGTGCAGGGCAAAAGGGTTTAAGTTTGGTGCCGCATGGGGTGATGTCTTGGGATATGTTTTTTGCTGCCAGGGGCCTATGAGATGGGAGGGGGCCTGGCCAAGCAAGAGTGGCTCTTGCTTCAAGCACTTTGTTTTCTGTGTGATGAGGTCAGATGGATCTAAAGGGACCTTCGTGCCATCCCCTCCCCTAATCCCCTGCCACCTTGAACACTGGGTTGGGCGCCCAGGCAGCTCTGCTCCAGTCCTAACAGAAAACTCGCTTTCTCCTGCTCTGCCTCTAACGCCTTTGTACTCGCTTCTTCTCGCTGCTGGCGTGCTCAGGACTGCCTTTCCTCACCAGCGGAGTGGTAAGATCCTAATACCAGGTGTGGGCTTGGGGGGGTAGGGAGAGAAGAGGCTGCTGCGCTTGCTTTGGCTGCTGCTGGCCCCCACTGAAGGGATACGGGAGCATGGTCCAGCCCAGTTCCCCAGGGGTCAGCATGGGGCTCCGGGGCCCCAGAGTGATATAGAAGGTTCCTCTCCCTGGCCTTTGCTCATGTGCCTTCTGGTTTAGTAGATGGCTCTGCTGAGGACAGGATCCTATGTCCCTGCCACCAGGCTGCTCATCTTCCCTGTGTCCCAACACCTGAGAAACTTTGCCTGGTCAAGTTTGCTCAGGAGCCTAGAGTTGGGAGGCAAAGCTTACAAGGAGACATGGGATCCTTTGTTGAGAGAGGCCTCTAGTGTTCCCACCTTCACATCTTTCCCAATTTCAGTTGTTTTAACAAGGATAAAGGCTCTTGGTGGGAACAGATCTCAAGTTGAGTTGTTAGGAAAACAAGTCACCAAATACATTAGGAGTCAGAGGTTCCTGGAAGGGTGCTGTGCAGCAAGAGGTGGGGGGAACCTTGCTGGGCTGGTTCCCGGGGAGAGAGGCTGTGGATCCATCAGCAGTGGGGGCCCTGGAGGAGCTGGCATGGAGGGAGGGCAGGATCCCAGCCCGTGACAGTGCGTGGGGGGAGCAGCCCAGAGAACGTTCGGTCACCTGGGAGGCTGTTATTCTAACACGGGTCTTGTCTGAGCCATGCTGCCCGGTTGGAGGGGCAGGATACAGGCAACAGAAGCCATGGTAGGGAGATCGAGAGGCCTTGGTGAGCCTCCAGATACAGTGGCCAGAAGGGGCCCGACCTCACTGAAAGGTTCTCTGAATTGCAGGGCGAGAAGGGAGAGCCGGGCGCCATCCTGACGGGGGATGTTCCCCTGGAAAGGCTGAGGGGGCAAAAGGTAATGATGTCCCGGGACCCTGGAGGCACACGTCCTCGTCAGTACCCCATCTCTGTTTCTGCCGCGAGCTGTGTGCCTCTGAGTGACAAATCTGCACCTCCCTGTTTCAGGGTGAGCCTGGAATGCACGGAGCACCAGGACCGATGGTAAGCGGAGCATCTCCCTGCGGGCCAGGCTGGGGTTGGAAGCATTTCTCATACTTTGGTTGGACTGAGTTGTCCCAGTTGTGCAAATGAAAAGGATGTGGCAGAATGTGTGTGTCTTGGGGCAAGCTAAGTGCCATGAAATAAAAAAAATAAAAATCTCTGTTGCTAACACAATGGGCTTAGCGCTCACTCATAAAGTCCACTGTGGATGTTCCTGGGGGCGGGGGGCGTTCCCTCCAAGAAGTGACTGAGGGGTCCAGGATGCCAGTGGCCTGTGACTCCACCATCTTTTTTTAAAAGATGTTATTGGTTTTTAGAGAGAGGGGAAGAGAGGGAGAGAGGAAGAAAAACATTGAGGTGAGAGTGAAACAGAAGTTGCCTCTTATACATCCTACTGGGGACTGGCCCGCAACCCTGGCATGTGCCCTGACCGAGAATTGAACTGGTGATCTTTTGCTTTGCGGGATGATGCCCAAACAACTGAGCCACGCCGGTCAGGGGCGACTCTACTGCCTTGTGCAGTTAGGGCCACAGTGGCATCTTCTGGCTGGGACGCCAAGGTTGAGCAGGGGGGAAGAGATCATAGAAAGTGATAAACATCACTTCTAGTACATTCTACTGGCCAGAACTCAGATGCCCAGGTGGGTGGGGCCTCAGAAATATGGTTTAGCCCTGTGTCCAGGAAGGAGAGGACAATCGGATGGTGGAGAGCATTGACGATTATATCACAGGTCTTGCCAGCTACAGGTTGCCCTGCCCAGGGAACTCCTCAAAGGAACTGCAGAAAGTTGCTTGGGCTTTGTGGGTTCTGGATGTGGATCCGCTGCTCATTGGCTGTGACGCCTTGGGCAAGGCCCCTTCCCTGTCTTGGCTTCTTCTTTCCTGTCTGCAAGTGGGCTCGTTGAGTTAGTACCTGATGACGTGGTAGCACGCTTCTTGCCTTATTTCTCAGGAGTCTGTAACTCATTTGGACTGCTGAATGGTTCTTAAGCTTGCAGTTCTCCCCAGGATGAACCTTGAACTTCCCTGTCATATTTCTCCCCAAAGAACACAGAAAACTCAGGAGTGGAACACCCACTGTGTGTGAGATGCTGTGCTGATATTTCACCTCCTCGCCCTCAGAGGTGGATATCAGACCAGGAAACTGAGGCCAGTGAGGTTAAGGAACCTGCCCATTGTTTCACACCCTGTAAGCGGCCCAGCAGGGATTTGAACCCAGCCTGTCAGACTGTGCCATTCAGTCCAGGTTCTCCCTGCCACACCCCCCGGCCTCCAGTAAGCATCTTCATTCTAAAACATGTTAGGCTGCAGCACTGCCCATAGGGGTTGTTTGGCTGAAGCTGGATCTCAGGCCTGGAGAGGAAGGGCCTCACAGTGCTCTTGAGGAATGGCCCATAGCATCCAAGGGGCATTCCTTCACAGGACCCGAGGAGACCTTCGGTCTCTCAAGTCAGGCTGAATGAGTGCCCTGGAGAGGGGCTGCTGAGGGCTAAGGCAGACTGGGAGAGTCCTGTGTTACTCGTTAACGCCTTAACTAATATACCGTACCCTGGGAAATACCAGTGGTTAGCAGTGCTGGCCACGGTCTGCTGCAGATGGCCGTGGAGGTTGTTCCCCCACAGCCCCGCTTGTGCACAGCTTGCCAAGCACAGACAGCAGGGGACCCCTTCTTTGATTTGCATAAAGGTGCCATACTGGCCAGCTGTGGCCCTCGTGACTTGCGTAGCTTATAATTTCCTTACAAACTCACTAGAGCCCTGTTATCCATGGCCCGTGGACCAGCATCTGCATCAGCTGGGAGCCTGTCAGATGTGCAGAGCTTTAGGCCCCACCCCCCAGACCCACAGGATCTGCATTTTGACAAGTCCCCGGTGACACTGATGCACATTGATGTTTGGGGGGCTCTGCACAAGAACGTACCACCTAGTAGCCTGTGTCCTGTGAACACCTTCTGTCCTTGCTTTTCTTTACCTAAGAGGGACGTAGTCTGGGTACTTTACACACAGGGCCCGTTTCAACTCAGTCTTGAATTCCCATTTCCTAGGGCCTGAGTATCTCTGTTAAAGGCAGAGGAAGAAGGGCCCCAGGCTTCCGCCAGCCATTCCGCAGGAGACAGGGCAGACTGGCTGCAGGAGGGAAGGTGTGGCCTGGCGGTAGAGCTTGCTCTGTGTGCGGCGTGCATTACACGCGTTCCAGATGCCAGAAGGCACGAGGGGTCCTGCAGGAGGCCAGAACAGGGCAGTGGGAGCATGTGGACATAGCAAGCCAGCCCTGGAATGAATAAGATCCTGGGGTCAGGGACCTCTCTGGAGAACGTGGGTGCCAGGCCAAGACTCGGATCCTTAGGAACAGGCAGGAACAAGGCAGAAACCAGATCCTGGAGCAGGTGATCAGGACGGGCTGGCCTGAGGGGCGAGGCAAGGTTGCTTCATTGTTACCACCGCCCACAAGGGCAGATGTGCCCCCCCCTCACCCCATCTCCCTGGCCCTTGAGTTTCTGTTCTCTTCTGATCTGGTCGATGTTTCTTTTGCCTCCAGGGGCCCAAAGGACCACCAGGACACAAAGGAGAATTTGGCTTCCCTGGACGACCTGTAGGTGTTGGTGCTCCTCGGACTGGATGTAAGAGAGGACATGTGGGCCAGGCTGGCCGGTGGGCAGTGGGTTTACTAAGGTGTCTTCTGTGGGTTTCAGGGTCGCCCAGGACTGAATGGCCTCAAGGGCGTCAAAGGAGATCGGGGGATCATGATGCCGGTGAGTGCCACAGCCCCTGCCCCAGCCCTACACCGCCCTGGGGACAGAGCCGAGAGGCCAGTGTCCAGAGGAGGGGGGAGAGAGTGCCAGGGCGGTGAGCGGGGCTTGTGGACAGAATATATAGGAATGCTTTTCTTCTTTCCCCATTGCCACTTCCCAATGTCCTGCAGCCCAGCCCTGTGCCCCAGCTCACTCTCAGGAGGGTGCCTGCCCCCAAAAGCACCTGAGTGGAGCGGGGCATAAACTTCCTCATCCAGACCCCTGAGAGAGGGTGGGAGACCTCCATGTACACATATTCAGGAAACCTGGTTTCCAATCCCAGGTCTTCTGACTCGGGTGACAGCCCTCTGTGACACAGTCCCAGGGGTTTTGCACGTCACCAGGGGCTTTGTAAATGCTTGTGAGCGAAGAGCAGAGGTCGATCAGCTATGTAGCTGGGGCCTCACAGGATGGCAGACACAGGGGGCACCAGCAGGGGCCAGACACTAAGCTTTTAAGGACAGTGTCTCTCAGTCTTGAGAATAAGTGCTGTGGGAGACCCTCGGTGGGTCCTTTGTTTTGCTCAAGAGGAAATGGGGGCCTATAGACATTAAGTGACTCATTAAAAGTCACCAAGCTAAGACGCAATTGCAGCTCTAAGTCCGAGGCTACTTTGATTCGCACCACGCTGGACATACATTTGCATGTCCAGGAACCCAGAACAGCAATTTTACTGAAGCTTTAGGGAACTAACTCAGTCATCAGGCCTGCTGGAGCTGCTGGGAAAAGCAGACAGTGCTGCCTTCACTTAGGATGGTCAGCGAGGCTGCTGAGCGGGCTAGACTCCTCACGCCTGCAGCCAGAGCCCCACCCCTCTGGCTGCAACATCCTACTCAGGATCCAGTATCAGGGAGGAAACGTTGCATGGTATTAAGGCCAGACTGGCCTGGCTTTGAAAATGACTCTACTACCTAGCGAGAGTTTTGCATTTACTTTTGCATTTAGGAGCACTCTTCAAGGTACCCTATCGCCTGAAGGACCCCTGCCTCACTTGCCGCTCCGTGCTAGGGATGTGCTCATGGAGAGAGGGGTGGTGGACTCGGTACCAGCCTAGCACTGACTGCGCTTGCAGTCAGAATCTGGGTTCCAATCTCAGTTCTGCCACAAATTGCTGTGTGGCCTTCAGCAGGTCACTTCCCCTCTCTGGGCCTCACTATCCCCATTTATAAACCAGAGATGACACTTGTTGCTCTGCTGTCTTCCATGTGGCTTGTTGGGAGGATGCAACGAGGTCATATATGGGGTCTGTCTGGAAACAGTCCCGCCATTGTTAATATAAAGAGGATGGTTTGCGCAGTATCAAAGTCAACGTGACCTGGCAGCCAAGGAGAGGGAACTGAGATGTGCATGGGGGAACAATGATGACTCCACTGTACTAGTCAGTGGGGGCAGTAGACGCCATGGACTGAGCGTGTGTACTGTGTGACCATCACATTCAAAATGACTGAGTGAGTACAGCTCCGAGTCTGCAGCAAATGTTGCATTAAGCTTGAACATCCCTCTGCAGAAACTATTCAAATGATCCAGAAGGCCACAGCTATGGGCAACTCGTGTCATCACGCCAATGCACCTGCTCATGCATCAGGTCTCGTGCAGAATTTTTTGGTTAAATATCAAATCACCCAGGTGACTCAGCCCCCCTCCAGTTCAGATTTGGTGCCCTGTGACTTCTGGCTTTTCCCAAAACTAAAATCTTTGAAAGGGAAGAGATTTCAGACTGTTGATGAGATTCAGGAGAATGTGACAGGGCAGCTGATGGCGACTGGGAGAACCATGTGAGGTCCCCTTTGAAGGAGACTGAGGCATAAATATACAGTGTTTCTTGTATCTTGTATCTTCTTCAGTGAAGGCCTCTGTTTTTCATGTTACATGCCTGGACACGTTCCAGACAGACCTCATATGTAGACAAGCTCTATGGAAAGGCCTGGCTTACCCATGAGAGAAATTAGTTGGCTTTGGAGGACTCTCTTTTCTGCGTTGTGTCCCCAAAACCTGGGGAAAGCATCGTGCCGCTGCCTCTGCATTCACAACCACCTGGACTCAGGAATGGCCTTTCTTTGTTCCCCTCAGGGCCCACCTGGCTTACCTGGTCCTCCAGGCCCCCCTGGACCACCTGGAGCTGTGGTTAACATCAAAGGCGTAAGTTGTGGGGGAGGGGAGGGGGCAGAGCCTTTGTCAGGGAGCAGCACCAGACTGACCTAAGCCCGAGTCAGACGTCCTGATGGCCTCACTTGTCTTGTTCTCACTCCCCTTTTCCCACAGGCTGTCTTCCCCATCCCAGCCCGGCCGCACTGCAAAACCCCCGTAAGTAACATGTAGGCACCGCCACGGAGAGCAGGCCTGGGCACAGGCAGTGAGCTGGAGAAGGCGATCAGTCTTTGTCTTGAGCCCTTTGTATCCATCAGTGTCCTCTTCGATGCCTTCTATCATTTACGTATAGACCCTTAAGCGGCTAGAAGCTTCTAGATAACAGACGGTGGCAATGAAACATACCGGATCTTCTAAGGGGGTACAGGCTGAAAGTGTTTCTTTTAATGCAATCGAAAAGCAGTATCTTTTGTTATTATAACCTATATTAGGTTCATGCTTGGAACAGTATAATTAGGAAAAATAGACATCTTTAAAATATAGATGAGACCAAAAAAAGCCATTCTAAGCAATGCTCTTTACGCTGGGAACTTTGGGCTAAAATCTGTAACTGCGCTGGCCTTTGCCAGCTGTCATCACTGCCCAGCACACAGCCCGAGAGGCGGATTCTCTCCCCCTTCTCTAATGAAGAGGCAAACTGCGACTCACACAAGCTCACGGGCTTGTCCGAGGTCACGGGACCCACTGAGCTGGGACTATTACTTGGGTCCCCTGACCACCAGGCAGCAGGTGCAGGCACTGTGACGCCGAGGGGTCAGGCACGTGACTGGTCTCCCAGCCAGTCAGTGGCACTGTGCCTTAGGTCTCACCCATGTTAGGAGAGTCTTGTATCTGTGGGGACCCAGGGGGGCTGGACGCCCCCGTGGGCAGGAGCATCTGTCACACAACCACGCTGAACCATTCCCTTGTTCATTCAACACATACTGACTGAGTCCTAACCCAACGCCAAGTACTCCGCTAGACCCTGGAGACACGGTGGGGAACTAGACAGGGCTGGTCTCTGTTCTCAGAAGCTTGCAAATTACAATTTAGAAACAGCCCTTAAAAATAAATTCATCAACTCTCTTACAAGATTCTTTGATGTGGGTTCACCACTGATGTCTGTCGGGGGTGGCGATGAGGCTCAGGTCAGAGGTTCTACACTGACACCGTTTGGCTGTGCGTTTGCCTAGACAACAGTCCATGTCTCAACGTTGAGGCACCCAAGTCTGCCGCCCAGGCCCTGGGAACTCTGGCCGGGAAGGCAGAGGACAGGACTCACCTGTGTAAGGTGAGCAAGGGGCCTGCTGGCTCCCAGATCTACGTGAGGACAACAGCCCCCCAGGTCACATTTCTGTTGGTGGCCTGGAGGGAAACATAAAATACCGGTGCTGGAGGGCCCCTCTGGAGTGGTGGCCACATCCCACCTCCTACGGTGCAGAAGGGGAGACTGCAGCCCTGAGAGGCAAAGGCCCCTCCAGGTCCCACCATGAGGGAGGCCCCAGGGGGCCTCCCAGATAACACCGTGGCGGGTTTCTAAGGGACTGACCATGGGACAGCACTGGACAAACTTAGGACTACTGTAAAAAGTGCGACTGCAATTGCCATGACCTGGACTCAGACCCTTCGCTGTAGCCACGGCCTTTGGGGGTCATGAGGTTACTTAAAAGAAGCCAAAGATGAGATTGGAGCATTTTTGCTGAGTTTCTGATTTCATGCTGCTGGACACCACGGAGGCTGGGCCCTCCACATTTCTTGACCAGCTCTCAGAATGGATACTTGAAAAAGAAATGCTTCCTTCCACATCCAGCATTTTGCAAACCCCTTCGAATTTAAGCCCCTTTCCTGCCATCACGATTCACAGCTCCTGCCTGGAGTGGAAGGACTTTCTCCACAGAGCTGCAGGATAGCAGCCTGGCGCTGCTGCCTTCATCCTTAACTTAGACATGTTTTCCCTGGAGGATTCCCCACCCCCAGCCCCCGGGACCCCTGGGCAGCTTGTGATCCTCCACCCAAAACCCCAGGGGAATCCTGGCACTGGAGCGCTTATTCTAACTCCACATACCGACTGGGCAGAGGGGGCGGGGTGGACTACTGACAGCATGGTTGCAGGTGGATCTGTTCTAATAGGCAGAGAAAGACAGGGATCTGGGAGTGAGCCGGAAAGGAATGTTATCTAGAACAGCTTGGACTCCAGACCCCTGACACTTAATATGAAGTCCGGAATAGCCCCCCCACCCGATGAAAAGCACCCCTGTCCTGTTCAGTATACTCATCACTGACCGCACACAGTCGCCAGACTTGTGGCAGCCCAGCTTACTGCTGGGGACATCTCTAGCCTGAACACTTGACCTCTCACGTGAATCAGTCCTAACTGATGAGAAAGGGGACCAGCAATACCCACAGTTGGACTCCCTCTTTGCAGAGCCGCTTGGCCAGGAGGGCTCAGGCGGTCCACCCCAACCTGGCTGCCTGATAGGAACCCCAGTGGAAGATGTGGGGTTCCTGGGCATTGAGAGCCACTGGGGAGCTCAGGGCTGCTGAGGACCCCAGAGCCAAAGGAAAGCCCAACTCTGTGACATTGCTCCTCCAGCCACATGGCCCCCAGGACAGGGGCCAGTTGGCTCCCTGGGCGTGCAAACACCAGGACAGGGTTTACAGTGTATGGTCTTGCCTTTCTCTCTCCCCAGGTTGGCACGGCTCATCCCGGGAACTCAGAACTCATCACCTTTCACGGTACACACTCCCTTCTTCATCTTATGTTTTTCTGGAATAGTTCCAGACTGTTGTGTGTCTTCTGGGGTGGTTGCTACTTGTGCATGGGCCTAGACTGGGTGGTCAGGAAGACCTGGCTGCATGTGTCAGGAGGGGGGCTCACAGCTGAGCAGAAGCTGTGGGACTGGGCCTTTCTGTTTGGTTTCGTCGCCCATCTGTCTGTTCTGCACATCTTGGCTAAACCTCCTAGTTAGCAAGAAGCCCTCCACTTGTCCATTCTTTGGTTAGTTTGTTCATAAAATATCCACTGATAACCTTCCCCTTGTTTGGCGCTATCCCGTTCACTGGGCAGACACAGGTGAATCCTCCACCACCCAGGCCCTTGGGCTGTGGTAGGTGAAAGAGAGTATTTTAAAAACCACTACAATGCAATACACCAAGAGCTAGTACAGGGCAGGGCGTGGGAGCTCAGAAGACCTTTGCTGCATAGTGTTTTTGGGCCGGCAGCATCTTCGTCTCCTAGAAGCTTGTTAGAGATGCAGCACCCTCGGCCTCACTGAGCCCTGCTGCGTTTGCACCAGCTTCCTGCAGCAGAGTGTGAGGAGCCTTGGCTCTGAGCATTTGATCAGTAAACGTCACCGAGGCCGAGGCCCATAGGCACTTACCTACCACACATCAAAGAGTGGGAAAGGCCAGGAAGTGAGCGTGCAGGTGAGTGCTCACTCTGATCTCTGTCCCCACTCACCCTTTTGTGCCTCCTACCCCCTGTTTTTTTTTAAATCCTCACCCAAGGACACACTTATTGATTTTAGAGAGAGAGGAAGTGGGGAGAGGGAGAGACAGACAGACATACAGACAGACATGTGAGAGAGAAACATTGATTAGTTGCCTCCAGTACGTGCCCTGATGGTGGATGGAACCCACAACCTTTCGGTGCACATGGGACGACGCTCCAACCCACCGAGACGCCCGACCAGGGCTGTCCCCCTTTTGCTGGAGAAGCCTGCACATTGCAGTTTAAACAGGGGAAGGCTTTTTTTTCTCTTTCCAGTGCTGACCTCTGGCTGGGCTCTGTCACCCCTGGCCTGCCAGGTGGTGGTCTCCCTGGTGCTCTCTGGCCCCATGGTTGTCCTGTCACTTTGGTTAAAAAGTCCCAGCTGTTTTCAAACTCCGTGCTCAGAGCCAGTGAAGGCTTCCCCTTCCTCCCACTGCAAGGTGGGCCTTGGGGAGGAAGGGCGGCTGTGGCTTTGCTTTCTCGGGCCCCCAGTGGTTCCGCTCCCTCATGGGGCTCTTCTGGGAGGAGGGGAAGGGAATAGACCTTTCCAGATGAGGGCCCTGGTGAGCCAGTGGTCCTATGCACTCATGGGTCTAGTCCTGCTCCCTTGGCCGAGCAGCCACATGGGCAGTGGTGAGCTCCCTGTCCTCCTCTCTGGGCACATCGCTGTCTGTGGTGTCACTGTGGGCGGGTGGAGGCCCCGAGAGCCCTGCTCTCCAGGTCCTGGCTTCGGCAGCTCCCCCAGGCCAGTGAGGCCTTGCCAGGTGGGACTGCATCTCCCACTGACCCCCTGCCGGCAGCTTCACGCCTCTGCTACATCCCTTCTCCCGTGCTGGGAAGCCTGAGCCCCAAACTTCATGTACGCTGCGTGTCCTCGTCTCTAGGTGTGAGAGCCTCGATCGGTTGGTCTCTCATGCTGTTTGGGAACCAGGAATTCAGAGATCTAGTCTTCACCGCTCATCAAGGCAGGGGAAGGGAATGACCTCTCTTCCTAAATGCCGAGCTCCGAGAAGGAGTTCATGCCTCCCTCCCTTATAAAGAGTTGGGGGAGAGGGAGGCCTATGGTGTCAGTTCTGCAGGAAGGGTGTTTCTCACAAGCCCTGTGGGGAGTGGGGTGTCACACAACTGGCATTGTCCCAGCTTTGTCCATGGAAGGCTTAGCCCGCGAGTTGTCCTCTGCGGGCACTCCTGGGAGACCTCCTCCTCCCCCGACACCACCATGCTGCACGGGCACAGCTGAGAGGGGACTGCGAGCCTGACATGGTGTGGGCCTCGGGCATGTGGGTGAAGCTGTGGGGGAGAGTTACCTGGAACCTCTGCTGGGTTCCCATGAGGCACTGCTGGCATCCTCACGGTGGTGCTCATTCCATCCTGCCTCCCATGATCTGTCACCATGTCTCTCTCCCCCATGAGACTGAGCCCTTCAAGGTCAAGGTTATGTCTGCTGCCTCTGTCTTCCCCATCAGTATCAGTTAGCAAAGGATTTAACACCTGCAAACAGGCCTTGGGTTGAGAGGACTTTGCTGAAAGGACTCAGCTTGAAAAACTTGTCTCAGAAAGGTTTTATATAGGACAGAGGTGATTTTCCACTTTTGTTCCTTTAAATGTGTGTGTATTTGGTGGCAGGTGTTAAAGGAGAAAAAGGATCCTGGGGTCTTCCCGGCTCGAAAGGAGAAAAAGGCGACCAGGGGGCCCAGGGACCACCAGGTATTTCACACCTTGGGCTAGATGCTGCCTTTGATTCTCCATCCTAAGGAATCCAGCTGGGGCAGAAAGGAAGACTAGTTACATAATCGTCTTGACCGCCCGCTCTGCAGACTCCAAGAGAGACCTGGGCACAGGTGACGCATGTCCAAGATGGAACATTGTCAAGAGAGACCAGAAGCTCCTATTATTCGTGCTTCATGTGCACCATGGGGCCTAACAAGAGTGGGGGAGGTGCCCCGGGACCCACAGTGTCTGGGAGGGGGGTCCGGATCAGGACTGGCTTCTGCCTCCAAGCACAGTGGCCACTCTGTGAGCCAGATCAGCGCAGAGCCACTGCCGCTGGAAAAGAATCATGGTTGCCACCTTGGAGACTTTTCTTTTTAAATTTCTGAGCTTGTGATCACGAATTTTACAAAGCCTTCCTTTTTCAGGCCCTCCAGTGGATCCAGCTTACCTGAGACATTTTCTGAACCACCTGAGGGTGAGTATTTCTCTTCTAAATGTGGGCCTGTGTTTCTGAGTTCTTGGGCTCCTGTCAGAGACTGGTGCATTTGACCCTGACTATGTGTTCTTTGAATATTCTCTGCTTTCAGGGGGAGAATGGAGACAGGCGGTTCAGAGGAGAAAAAGGAGACTCTGTCGGCGATGTGTCTGTGTCGGGGCCTCCAGGCCTGCCAGGAAGCCCAGGCCTGGTTGTGAGTAGTGACCCCTCCGTATCACTGTCCCAAAGTCCCCCTGTGTGACTAGGCAGCTGGAGAGTCAAGGGTCAGTCGTAGCACCACAGGCTGAGGCAGGACTTGGGTGTCAGCCTCTTGTTGACTGACGGGGGGCGTGGCTGAGGCCCATGGAGGGCAGGGAGCTGGCCAAGGTTACGTGCACTCAGGACACTTCTAGATCATTACTCTGGTGCCTTATCCGTGTTCGTGGTGGAAGAACCACTGAACGCGAAGAGATACCAAGGATGAACACATCAAATAGCAGAGACAGCCTGGAAAGTGAGGGAGATATTCTCAGAGGGGCTATTCGATTCTTTGGAAATTTCACCAAAGAGGGAGCTCTTAGATAGGCTTGGTCTCCTTAAGCTGACTCGTTTCTCCAGGCCACAAAAGAGAGAAGCGAGTGATGCCTCTAACAAGACGAGGATGTGATCATTGACCCTCGGGGACCGTAAGCCAGCTCTGGTCCCAGAGCTTGCTGTGAGGGCAGACCCAGCAAAGCCAGGAGACCAGGATTCCACTTCTAGCTCTGCTGCTAACTGGTTTCAAGGCCTTGGGTCAAGTCCGGTCCTCAGTCTAGGTCTCAGTTTCTTTGTCTGTGAGCTGCAAAGGCTAGACTAGATGATCTCTCCTGAGTCCGGGGCTCCCTGGGGTTCCCTGGAGTGTCATTCCGCCTAATCATTGGGCAGCTGCTCTTTAAGTCATATACCACTCACACTATGCCCAGGACTGAGGCTAATGATGACAATAGCAGGTATTTTACTGACTTCTTACCAACGTCCTCATACAGAGGGTAGACGGGACTTCTAGTGATTAATGGTGCTTTCTCTCTCCCGTTTCTGTGCATTTGCCTTGACAGGGCCAGAAAGGGGAGGCTGTTGTCGGGCCCCAGGGCCCCCCAGGTGTTCCTGGCCTGCCTGGGCCCCCTGGCTTTGGAAGACCTGGTGCTCCTGGGCCACCAGGACCCCCAGGGCCACCGGGACCCCCGGCGATCCTAGGAGCAGGTTAGTACTGTGAGTGGTGTCCTCGTCTCTGCTGCTGTTGTGCTCAGGGTCACCTCATCTGGTGGCAGGTCAGCCACACTGACAAAGGGTTGTTTCCTGGATGCAGCCAACTCTCTCTCTCTCCCTCTCTCTCTCTCTCTCTCTCTCTCTCTCTCTCTCTCTTTCTTTTCTTTCTTGAAAAATTGAGATAATTCACTTGCCATAAAATTCACTCACTTAAAGTGTACAACTCAATGGTTTAATACACTCACAAGGTTGTGCGGCCATCACCATTTCAGTCCAGAACACTTTCGTCACCTCAGAAAGAAACCCTGTGCCCGTTAGCAGGCACTCCTCTCTTCCTCCTCTCCCCAGACCCTGGGAACCAGCGATCTACTGTCGGTATCTGTAGGTTCTCCGATTCTGGACACTTCACGTAAACGGGATCATGGATCCTGTGGCCCTTTGTGTTTGGCTTCTTTCACTTAGCACAGTGTTTCCAGGGCTCGTCCCATCGTATCGCTTTCTATGGCCACTCGTTATTCCACTGCGGCATTCTGCTCACCCATTCATCCGCTGGTGGCCACTGGAGTCGTTCCCACTCTTCAGCTGTTCTGAATAGTGCTGCTCTGAACATCCATGTACAAGTTTTCACGTGGACATGTGTTCTCACTTCTCTTGGGTGTATACCTAGGGATGGAATTGCTGGAGCGTCCATGCTTAACTCTTTGAGGAACCTTAGCAGACTCTTTTCTACAGTGGCTGCCACAGTTTGCATTCCCACCAGCAGTGTGCAAGAGTTTCAGTTTCTTCTTATCTTCATCAACACTTGTTATTATTATCTCTTTTTTAAATTCTAGCCATCCTAGTGCATGTGAAGTGATCTTTCGTTGTGGTTTTGATTTGCATTACCCTAGAAACTAAAGATGTCAGTACCTTTTCATGTGGGTGGAAACTTCTTGGCTGCTTTGCCTATGCCTGGGCCTTAAGGAACTTGAGGACCAGCATTGATTCTAATTCTCTGTGTACAAGTTCTTTCCCCCATTGGTGCCTCGCTTCCTCAAGTGAAGAATGAGTGAAACAGGAGAAAATCTCCATTTACCCGGTGCCAGGAATGCTGCTGGTCACTCCTGAATTCTCAAAGAAAAAGCCCTTCAAAGAAAAGTATCACGTCCCTGTGTGGCAGATGAGAAAAATGAGATCCAAAGACATTGGAGAACCTTTCCAAGGTCACGCAGCTAATAACTGGTCCCGGCATGTTTAGGACCCAGATCAGCGTAGCCCTGGCGCCTGTGTTCTTCCCACTGTGCCAGGTAGGAGGTGATGCTGAGAGAAGCAATAAGCGCACGACCACACCATTTTTTGTTGTCTGGGTTGGCGTGACCCAGGTGTGGCAGAAGCATACCTGGGAAGATACCTGCAGTGTCTGGGGCACCAGGGAGACCTTTACATAGGACATGCCTTCAGGGCTGGGACTTTGACTGCATCGTGGGTCTTTTGGCTGCAAGTGACAGAAATATAACTCGGACTAGATCAAGCCAGAGGGAAATGGATGTAAAGGAAGGGGTGACCAGTCTGTCTGTGAGAGGGGCAGACATGCAGCAGGACCTTAGCTACAGCCAGAACCGGAGCTTCAAGCCCAGCGAGGATCCTCTGGCCACCTCTTGTCTCAGCCTCTCTCTGTATGTGAGCTTCGTGTTCCTTTACCACAGACCACATCCTCTGCACAGTGGGAAGTAAGGTTATTGACGACTTACAGCTTCTGTTGTCAGCTGCAAACCTTGGTCTTCCTTCTCAGTGCCCCTGGGACGGGGCACGTCCTGGGGAAGGATTTTGATTGGCCTGACTTGGGCCAGGTGCCCAACCATAGACCAGTCACCAGTGGCCGGGAGGTAGGATCACATGAGAATATGGCAGCTCCTTCTAGAACCAAACAGTTGTAGAGGTGAAGGGAGGGCTCCCAAGAGAAGGTAAGGATACAGGTCCTGCAAAGAAAGAAGGTGCTGGGTGGCTAGAACCATAGGTGCCCGCCTACTCAGCCTTGAGGGACAGCAGGGATTACAGGAAGCAGAAGGACAGTGCAGGATGAGTACAGGGTGCAGAGAATCTGTTGCCCATCAGAGCCCCACGCTGGGGGTCCCCAGGACTCCTCGCTCAGTAGAACAAAGATTGCCCCTCACACGATGTACAGCAATTCTTGGTTTACAAGACACTCTCATATTCATGATCCCATTTTAGCTTCACAGCAGCCTTGGGAAGGGGAAGGAATCAATGCTATCAACGCTGTAAAACTCACTTCATGCATGAAGACCCTGGAGCTCAGAGAGCTTGAGAGACTTGCTCAAGGTCACAAATGCCAGTAAGAGGCATGGCTGGGCTCCAAATCTGAGTCCTCTGGCCCGCTCTCCACTGGACATTCATCACCTACGTATAGGTGGTCAAGCTGCATGTCGGAACTGCACATTTCCTTGCGATGACCTGAAACATCGGAAGCAGTAGTTTTCCTGGGACTTGTAGAAACATCCTTAACTCAGCAAGAGCCTCACAGCGTTTTGGAGGGTTCAGTGGCAGGAATTGGAGATTGGAGAGGGAGAAGGAGAGGAAAAGCTGTAACTATATTTTTTTATGCTTACCTAAAGGTGGGGCTTTTTGTTGGGGACCATAAAGCCCTGAGAGTTCAAGGGTGTGCCCCAGGAAGCTATTGTCCCGCTAGCATTCTAGGTAGAGTTGTGTGCGTACAAATGCCTTTTTCTAGGGAAGAAGGCAGTGGCCTTGACCTGATTAGTCGGGGCACTGTGACTCTTCAAAAGCTAAGCACTTCTGGCTGAATGCTACACAATTTACAAAGCACATTCCTAGTTCGTCTGTTCCTCAGTTCTCACCACAGCCCAGTGAAGAAGAAATGCCTGTTTCCATTTCACAGGTGAGGAAACTAGGCTTCAGAGAGCTTGCCCTTTCCCCAACATCACGTAGCTGAAACCTGACCAATCAGGGGACTCGAGGCCATGTCTCCTGGCCCCAAAGGCAGGGCACCTGTCGCCTCACTGCCTTGCCCTCCCTCTGAAGCCTGGCACCTTCTCTTCCTCTTTCTGAGTCTGCTGTCTCTGCTATAGTTACCTGCTTGTCTCCTGGGTGCAGTAAGCTGTAGGAGTCAGGGCGTGTGTGGGTATGAGTGATAGAAAGCTGACCTCAGACTGCCTTAGACAAACAACAGCAGCCAGGGGGATTTATTCACTTGTAAAGCTGAGAAGTCCCGGGAGGGGCTTCATCCAGGGCTATATAATCAAGAAACCAGCTCTGCCCTGGCTGGGTGGCTCGGTTGGTTGGAGCATCATCCTGTACACCGGAAGGCTAAGGGTTCGATTCCTGGTCAGGGCACATATGGGAGGCAACCGATGTGCCTCTCTTACATCAATGTTTCTTTCTCTTTCTCTCTGTCTCTTTCTCTCTCATCAACAAACTTATCCTCAGGTGAGGATTTTTAAAAAATAAAATAATTTTTTTTAAAAGAACAAGTCCACCTCTTCCCCAAACTGGTCCACGTGGCTGAGTCCAGTGCTGGGTCCCCAGGGCCCAAGATTCAGATGCGAGCTCCCGCGCTTTGTAGCACTTCGACTGGGGTTGCACACGTTCCCTCGGGGACCAGCTAACGCCCGAGGCATTTTTCAGAGTGTGTGCCTTTTTCTAACTTCTCTTTTCTGCTTTGTCTTAGCTGTGGCCCTGCCAGGCCCGCCCGGCCCTCCAGGACAGCCTGGGCTTCCCGGATCCAGAAACCTGGTCAGTGCAGTGGTCAGTGTGTGTCCACCCTCTGTCTAGAGGCGTTTACTTGGCACTCCGGCTGCGGGACAGTAGCACTGGTGCACTTCCGCGAACGGAGGACATTTATTGCCTCTCTAGATGCCTTATTAAGTGAAAAGATACAGAATAGAAAGTCACTTATGATTTAAGTGGGACCCTTTTAATCCTTAATTCACTGCACTCTCACTGGAACCGATCATATTACATCCAAACACATAAGCACTAGAGTATGAGCACCATTGCCACAGGCCTCCTCTGTTCTGCCCGAGAACGGATGCCCCCTCCCCTGCAGGGCCCCGCAGCGGGGTGCAGCTCCCAGAGGTTATCAAGAGGCACCAGCGGAGGGACACAGACCTCACGAGGGTGTTGGGAGTCCTAGGGATGTTCTGTGATCTTTGCGGGCTTTTTGTTGGGAAATTGGGCTGCCACATGAAAGAACAACCTGGCAGATGATGGAATTTTGATATTTGGTGCCTTTGGGAGATTTCTAAGCCATTCAGAGGCACACAGTCATTATTTTCAAGGCGAGGTAAAAATTAATTTTTTATAATCCTCCTCAGTCGAGATGAAAAATAAAAGCTCTCTTGGCTGTTACATCTTTGAGACTTGATGCTTTTCGATGGATTTCTGCAGCTCTTATGTCTGGGTATGCCAAGGTGGCTCTCTAACCTTTGGCAGCTTTCTAGACGCAAATGACGAACCCTCCTTTTCCAGTGGGCCTTTCATATGGTAACTTCCTGGCAAGGCCAAGAAGATTCCAGGCGTTAGTAGCATTGTTCTCTTGCTCCATTTCTTATTCTAAGTGAAAACAAATGTGGAGCTCTCTAAGGGGCAGCATGAAGTAACACGTTGAACCACTGAGCAGCCCACGGAAATGGAAGTGGCAAAACTTACCGATTATTTTGCTCAAACCGGCACCCACCAAAGGCAACCCTGTCTACAGCTTATCAGGGTCTTTATACTCTCAGAATACTATCTTGGGGTTTTAACATATCTATTCTAATTTAGAGTTGTGCTCCAAAGAAACTCCTGTCTTTGGTTTCTCAAAAAGGCTGTCCGTCAGTTACCAATGGAGCTACATGGGGGCACAATCAGCCTTTTCTTCATTGGCTGTGAGGGGACGGCTCCTGCTGGGCTGGACCAAGGGGCTGTTTCTCAGGTGTGCCACCGCCTCATGATAACCGCGGTGTCTGGGTGTTACATTACCTGACAGGTGACGGCCTTTAGCGACATGGACGACATGCTGCAGAAAGCGCACTTGGTGATAGAAGGGACGTTCATCTACCTGAGGGACAGCACGGAGTTTTTCATCCGTGTCAGAGATGGTTGGAAAAAGTTACAGGTAATTTTTAGACGTTCCTTAACAAACTGCCTCCAAATACCCTCGAAAAATAATAATGTGCTCCCGTAAATGCTGTTTTTCTGTTTTGAAAGTAAGCGAACAGTTTCTGGTGGTGTCATGGTCAATGTTCTGTTTTTGTCTTCAAGCTGGGAGAACTGATCCCCATCCCTGCAGACAGCCCTCCGCCTCCTGCGCTCTCTGGCAATGTGAGTTGCTTTCCTGCCGTGCGTCTTGCTTCTTCCTCCATCAGCATTTACCGAGGCCCCCTTGGTACCCTGCGCCAAGCTCCCCAAACACTGGGTAGCCAGCTCTGCGCGCTGCGATATCTGCTGGCGGCCCAGGAATGACGGGGTGCCGACAGAATGTTCTCACTGTAAGAGTGGAGGGAGGACTGGACCCAGGCGCTGGAGATCTGTTCCCCTGTCGTAGCTGCATCCTCCTGGGCAAGGAGCCTTCCCTCTCTTGGCCTCGGTTTATTCACCTGTGGTAGCATGGTCGGTGTACGCAATTTAAAGGGGCCATTTAATATCTGACACTTGTAAGCAACTTATACTGGCTGTTCCTTAACTCCGCAGCAATGTGTTGAGGCAAGTGCTGTCACCCCCATTTTGCAGATGAGGAAACAGGCCCCAAAGAGGTGACTTGCTCTGTTCAGTGAATGAGTCCTCTGCTTCCCCAATTCACTGCTCTTTCTAAAGCACTTGAGACTGTCCCCTCCCTTTCTGAAGATTATTTTTTCATTGGAGCTTGCAATTCTTCCCAGTTAAAGTGGCCCAAAGACCATGACAAACTAGTTAAAATCTCTTCTCAAGAATCATTGCACTCGTACCTGAATGTACGCTGAAGAACAGATTGAATGGAATGAAATCAGAACTCTTTCTTTTCCTTTTTTACATCATAGCCACATCCGATTCAGCCTCCACTGATGCCTGTTTCCAATGTCCATTACGAGAGGCCTGCAGTAAGTACAAGTCATGCATTTACTCTGCAAATGCTGAATGCGCGTCTACCATGTGCTGGGCCCCACGCTGGGCACAGAGTTCCCACCCTCAAGATGCATGTAGACTAGCAAGAGAGGCAAAGAAAAAACAGGGGACTGCGGTACAGTGTGGTAAGTCGTGTGGGTTAGGCAAACACGGGATCCTGGGGGTGTGAGGTAGGTCAAAGAAGCCTGCCTTCTTTAGAGGAGGTGACCTCTAAACTATAAATCTAACAGGCGATTGAGAGCAAGAGAGGGTCAGATGGGAGGAAAAGAGTGGGAATTCCGGGCAGAGAGCACACGGAGCAGAGGGAGGCAAAGAAGAGTGCTGTGCATTTCTGTAATTCTGAGGATTTCAGTCTGGCTGAAGGAGTCAGGTTCAAGGCAGAAGGGAGGTGTTCAGTCTGCAAAAGGCACAGACTGGTCATCAAGAGCCTGTAAGGTGGGCGAAGGACTTTGACCTTCACCAGTGGGCAATGGGGAGCGATGAAAGGCCTTAAGGAAGAAAAGCGTATTATAGGATTGGCATTTCAGAAATCACCTTGGGGACAGTGCACAGAGGGGCTGGAGGGGACCGGACCCGGGGCACGAAGTCCAGTTCGGCAGCTGCTCTGCTGTCTGGACTGTGACCACAGCAGGGGACATGTGCGCAGGTGGGCAGGTTAGAGAGGAAGTAAGGAGAGAGGATGAACGAATGTGGTTATTGACTGTATGTATATAGGGAGCTATGGATGAGGGAGCTCAAGAATGATGTCCCAGTTTCTGCTTAAGTCACTGAGTGGTGACAGTTTCCCTCCAGGGCCCTTTGCAGGGGACATAACTCATGTCCCTGCTGTCAGCCTGCTCCCCTGTCCCTGAAGATCGGCTTGCTCAGAGGTCTTTCTTCCTGCCTCCCTTCCACCCCTGCCCCAACACACAGACATAGGCACCATCTACACAGCTCACACATGACTTTGGATGGTCACAGCACTGATTCTGGCCCCAACTCATCGTGATCTTACAGCTGCAGAGCACAGCACTACCTGACCAGTTCAGAGTTGTGAGAGAGAATCTATATGGGTCGTCTTGGGTCAGTCGCCCACCCCCAGATGAATCAAAGGTAGCCAGGATTGCCTGGCCTGAGAGCATGCTTCTCCACGAGTGTCGTGGAGGCACTTTAGCAAAGGTGTTGGCTTGGCAGGCACCAGAAGCACATTTCCTGTAACAGTGCTGTCATCTAGCACGCAGGGGCTCACGTGGGGCCCAGTGCCTCTGAGGCACCTACCTGCAGGATATCTGAGTGGAGACTTCCAGGAGGGAACAGGATATGAAGATCTGAAACCACTCGGTGGGTCTGGTCTGGAGATACAGACTTAAGAGTCTTCAGCTGAGCCACAGCAATGGTGATGGGGCAGGGTTCGCAGTGAGAAACTCTGCAGTGAGAAGAGATTGGACCATGAAGAGCACCCCCCACAAAAAAAAGGAACTGATGAAATATGAGAAAGAGAAGGAAACTGAGATGCCATAGTCAGAGAGGAGGAAAGAATGCCAAGCAAGGTAGTTGCCAACAGCGTCCAATGCTGCCAAAAGGTCCACTGAAAGGACCAGCAGGTGTCTTTCAGCCCTTGCCGATGTGGCTCAGTTGGTCGGAGCGTCATCCCATAAACCGAAGGGTTGCAGGTTCGATTCCTGGTGGTCAGGGCACATACCTAGGCTGCGGGTCCAATCCCCGGTCTGAGCGCGTACGAGAAGCAACCAACCAATCGATGTTTCTCTCTCATATCAGTGTTTCTCTTCCTCTCTCTCTCCCTTCCTTCTTGCCTCTCTAAAATCCATAAGCATGTCCTTAGGTGAAAATTAAAAAAAAAGAAGAAGAATTAAAAGGTGTCCTTCAAATTTAGAAGCCAGAGGAAAGCATCCTCTTAGCCCAGAGAGTTGCCCACAAGAGCCTAGCTGGCTGAGGAGTACAGGGAGGTAAGGTGAGGAGAGAGAGAGGCACGCATAGGCGACCCTTCAAAAAGGTCAGCTGTGAAGGGAGAAGTTAGGGCGGAGCTGAAGGAATTTTAAAATAATATTTTATAAATTCTAATACATGCTATATATTCGTCATAGAAAGTTTGGGCAGTCAATAGCAACACGAAGACTGAAGGAGAGCACAGTAAATCACCTACAACTTCACCGAAACTACAGCCATCCACGGAAACACCACCTAAACATTTCAGTTACTGTAACGTTATTGCCTCCACAAAAGTGATACAGATTCATGATGAAACCGTCCTAGCAGTTAGAGAAACACAGACCTACACCAGAGCGCAAAAGCCCCTGGCCCCCACCGTTCACAAACAGCCGTCACTCCCGACGTCTGCCTGTGTCTGTCCCTGACGAAGGAGAGCCGCAGATGGGCGCAGTTAGAGGCGTGAAAGGAGACCCTCGACCGCTGCCCCTTTCCCAGGTGGCCCCCTGAGTCAGAGAAGCCAAATGCCCTCAAGGCTCCTTGTGACTGCCCTTTGGTGTGGGCAGCAGAGAGTCACTGGTTGGAGAGCGATGAGACTCTAGAGTCTCTTCCCTGGGGTGCCACTGTCTGTGTATACGTGAGAGGGAGGGAGACAGGGAAGGGGCAGTGTAGCCAGGTGGCAGGGGCTTGGGAGGACCAGGGTTTATACCCGGGGCTGGAAGTCTGGCGGCCTGGAAGTGGCCCTGGTGAGCGAGCATCGTGCGGAAGGGCTGGGAGTGTGGGAGCATAAAATGCTGCTACCCGGAAGGCTACGGGGGAAGCCTCATTTCTGTGTGTTTGTGAGGAGGGGAGCGGAGGGTCATGCTGGACTTCTCCCTAGCATGGTGATAAAGGCAGAAACAGGGACAGATGCAAGGAAAGAAACTGGGGAAGTAGCAGGCCTGGAGTCCGTCCTTTTTGGAAGGGGAAGGAAAAGGGTGGTGAAGTGGAGAGAGATGTACAAAGGAGTGCAGGGGTGCATGGGGCAGCCTGGACGTTGTATGTAGTTCATGGCCGGCTGTGGGCAAGTGGCCACGTCCCTGACGAGCAGAAGAGTACCAGCATGGAGCACCTGGTACTGGGGACATTCAGACCAGGGAGGCAAAGCAGAAACGGGGACGGATGCACCGACCACCTCCTGCCTCACTGTATGGGGCTCATTTCCTGTCCATCCATTTAAAATGTTTTCAAGTGTTCTTCTTTTCTGGAGACTTGGGCCTGGGGTCTGCACCAGCCCTCCCTAGCCGTATGCTGCTGAGGTAACAGTTGCTCCTGAGATGAGATCCAGGAGGGAGGAGACCACCGCTTGATTGTGGAGCATCCCGGTGGGCGCACACTAGGAAGGGCTGGGAGGGAAGGCTGGGTTTGGGAAGCAAAAGTGTGGGTGAAAACAGACCGTGGCTTTTATTTTGGCTGCTGACCCAGTGGCAGGGACATGAGACCAGAATGACTGTATGACCCCATGTTTCCAAAAGGGTCTCTCCCAGCAATCTCAGTAGTAACTGTCACGACCTTCTCCTTTTGATGTCTGTTCACTCGGGGCCCTCGGGGCCAGCCCCAGGCCCACTCGGGAGGTAGAAAGAGGGGCAGGAGGCAGACGGCTTGTTGTAGTTCTGGGGCCCAGGACCAAAGCCAGCCTGAAACCTCCTGGAAACTGAACTAGACCCAGGGGTCTCCAACAAATGGTAGGCAGGCAGACTCAGATCTCCGAAGGGCTTTATTCTATTTCATCTTCCTCATATATGGGCGAATTTCCCACTGTTTAGAGCTCTTCAGAGAGCTGCCACAGGCTGCGTGGGAGACCCGAGCTCTCCTTCATTGGAGAGGGCCAGGCTGGGGCTGGGATTGCATGGGCAGACAGAGGTGCAGTAAGACACCCTCGGGTGTGCCTTCCACCGTAAGAAGGAAGTCTGGGATCTCATGAGGAACATGAGGCGGTTACGAGACTTGGGGTTTGCCCTCAATGCTTCAACAGCACTGCCTTCTCTCCTTTTTCTCAGCTGCATTTGGTCGCTCTGAACATGCCATTTTCTGGGGACGTCCGCGCGGATTTTCAGTGCTTCCAGCAGGCCAGAGCCGCGGGGCTGTGGGCCACCTACCGAGCATTCTTATCCTCCCATCTGCAAGATCTCTCCACGGTTGTGAGGAAAGCGGAGCGCTACAGCCTGCCCATAGTGAACCTCAAGGTAAAACGAAATATTGTCCCCACGCCTCCTGGGTGCACGGGTCTCCCCAGGGACTTCGGGCAGTTTCTGCTTTCTGACAGCATCAGAAGTGGCTGGTTGAAGGCCCGGCCTGTCCCTCATTGGCTCTGTGACTTCGGGTGGGTCGCTTTCCGTCTCAGGAACTCAGTTTTCTAATAATATTCACAGTAGCCCCTCCTGCCTGGATGGTGTGACTTGTAGAGCAGACAGGAGGGAGGAATAACAACCTCTGTGGTGTACCTAGCTTTTTAAATGTTTACAAAGTTCTTTACAGTCATTGCCGTATTTTTAGGACCTTAAGGAGCACCTAGGTTTTAGAGGAGGAAAATAGGAAAAAACTTGAAGCAAAAAATGTGATAAAATATTTAATAACATGAATAACATAATATCTCACCAACGTAAATGTAAACAGAACTCAACAGCAGCATTAACAACCAGTATTCCTCCCAAATTTGGTGGAGGGGATGTGCATCTTATAATTCAAAAAATATGGTATCTTAATAGATACTTCTAGTGAAAATGGGAGTTATTCTTTTGTCAGATGAGGAAGTTGAGGCTCGGAAGAAGAAAGAAGTCTGCTCTAAGTCACTACAATCTAGAATTAGTTTCCTTGATCCCCCGTTTGGGGCGCCTCGTTCCTCCCGGGATGCCTTCCGTAGCGCATGAGCGGAGGGACACCAGAGAACAGCCAATAGGCACAGGTCCCAGAGCTGGGATACTCCGTCCTGCACCCTGGTTTGGCGTCCTTGGCTCATCTGAGCTGCCAAAGCCTAGAAGATATTTCTCTGCCCCCATCTGGGGTCAAGATAAGGCCTCACAGGGTCCCTCACTGGTACAATTACACCGTGGAAGCAGCCGACTCCTTTAAAGCTGCAGGGCGTCAGCTGTGTCGCTGCTCACACACTCCCGGGGTCCGGACCTCCCGCTCGATCTCAAAGGCACTCTGAGACCGTCTGGTGTCTGGGACCCCAGTATTCCCTTTTGGGACCTCGAGGCTAGCACGTTCCATCCTGACCCTACCTACACGCAGCGCTTTGCATCTCTTCCCAGGCCTGCCCCACCACATCCTGCCTCCCGGATTATCTCTATGCTTAGAATACAAGTGACTGAAGGAAACCGGGCTCCTTCAGGACAAGGAGTGAGAGATTTATCTCCACATCACCCACAATGTGGCCTGGCACAAACTGAAGCTCAGTACATGCATATAAATTTTTTTTACAACAACAATAATAAAATAAAGGCCTAAAACACAGTTTCAATGGGGACAAGACTTTCTGTACATATCATGAAAGAAATTACCCCGAGAAATAAGACAGTAAAGCCAAAAGAATTTAAGAACGGATGATAAAGTCGGACCACAAACATTTCCTGAGTTCCCGCTCTGTCCGGACTCTGTGATTGGGGTTGGTGGCTTCGGTGTGAAGTGACATGTGGCCTTAAAGAATGAGTAAATAGCTAGTCCATTTGCAGTCAGATGCTACGGTGTTTCTAATGTGGCATTTTGGTCTCCATAGGGCCAAGTCCTCTTCAATAATTGGGACTCGATTTTTTCCGGCCGTGGAGGTCAGTTCAGTACACATGTTCCAATATACTCCTTTGATGGCCGGGACGTGATGACAGATCCTTCGTGGTAAGTAGGGGTGGAAACCTCAAAGTATATGGTATGATAGACAGTTTTGGAGACATTCTAATCACGGGAGGTTTTGTCCGCTGCCCCTCTGGGGTGTTGTCAGCGGTAAGGCCGCTGAGGGCCATGGAGAGAGCCCTTTTCTGGCTTTGGAGCCAGGAGACCTGGGTCCAGGACCTTAATAGGGAACCTTCGAGAAGGCACTTCTGCTCTCTGAGCCTCGGCTGCCTCACCTGTCAAATGGGCAAGATAATCGTATCTATCCCACAAAGTTGCGAAAATAGAATGGGAACATATAGAATGCAGTCGGCACTTCGTAAGTGGTACATAATGCTACCCTTGGTGACCCTTTAACCCTCTATGGTGAGCTGCATTCAAATCCTTTGAAAGCTATGTATGCTGTTAAGAATAGAACAACTCGGCAAACCTTTCCCCAGCATCTACTCTATGCCATGCCTGATGCCAGGCCTGGAGGACACTGTGATAAACCTACATGGTCCCTACCCTTATGGGGTTTACAACCTATAGGGGAAGACAGACACAGACTGACTGTGACGCTAGCCAGAATGCTGTCAGTGTACCAAGGGGAAGCAGATAAAATGATAAGAAGACAGAGAAAATATTCACCGAAGGCTTCCTGTAAGAGGAAGCATTTAATGGACTTGGAAAGATGAGGAAGTATCACTGGTCAGAACATGAAAGAGAGCTGGTTCCAGACTAAGGGGCCTCATGAGCAGAAGTTCGGATTCACTGAGAAAGAGGCCAGGCTGGCTGTGGTCGGGGCACAGCGTGTTCAGCTAAGTGGAGGGAGCACAGAGATGACATGTATCACACCATGGAGGGTTCAGGGGTTTGCCTTGATTCATTCACTAGACTTAATGCCAATTTGTTCGCTGAGCTACGCCACAGAGAAGAAAAAGTAACATGACAAAATTCCTTTTCAGGCCCCAGAAGGTCGTTTGGCACGGCTCCAACACCCAGGGGGTGCGCCTGGAGGATAACTACTGTGAAGCCTGGCGAACGGCTGACGCGGCGGTCACGGGGCTGGCCTCCCCGCTGAGCACGGGGAAGATTCTGGACCAGAAAGCGTATAGCTGTGCTAGCAGGCTCATTGTTCTCTGTATCGAAAACAGTTTCATGACAGACGCTAGGAAGTAATGACCTTCCCGTGATCCTGAAGAGCTTCCCAATTTTTCTTATGTGAAGAGTTGACACTGAAATCGAAAAGGTCTAAATGTTGTAAATATTAGTTGTTTTAATTACACGTTCATCACAACAGCAACCAAAGAGAACATACCTCAGCCCACTCAAAACTGAAGACATCGAGGACTCAGATCAAAGATGAACATCTGATCCATGTATTGGTGCTAGATTTTGCAGGAACCCCACGCAGGGTGAACACATCCCGACACGGTTAGCAGCGAGTTGAAAGCCAAGGTCTTGGCATTCTGCCTCCCGCAACCTTCGGAAAGTAACGTCCCCCTTCAACCATTGTTGTTAAACGTAAGATGTCCTTCCTGTCTTCTTCCAAAGTCAGTGTTTAGAAATGTTGCCCCTTTTTAAGTTATGTGCAGACCAAGTGCTTCATTCCTTAACATGCCTCTGTCATTTGCAACTGCTGTTCATATAAAGACACAGAACTGCTCAAATGATCCTGTTTGTAGCTTCTGACATCATCAGACTTTAATGTGTTGGGTTTTTTTCCCCCTAAAATACGGTCGTCGTGCTTTAGGAATTTTATATTTTTGCTACAATCATATTTCAGTGTGGCATCTGTTTATATCACTCTGACTTGCTGGAAAAGGTTAAACTCCCAAGTTCTCTGAAATTAGAAAAGAAATAATACATAATTAGTACCTTTTCTTCAGTGGCCCTCCCCCACACCCCCATTATATGACTTCCATTTGGCAACTCTTGAATTCTAACTGCGACTGAACAGACAGGTTCATGGGGATGGATTTTCTGAGATACCTGTATCTTCATGCTGTATGCTTTGATTTTTTTTCCAGGTAAGTGAACATAAAAACATCTTTTCCAGGTGCTTTCTTTTGTCTGACTCCCCGCCCACCCCAGTTCCCTGATTCTCCACCACGGGTGTGGATGTGGCCCTGGGGAGGGTTTACTAACCAAGTCACTGCCACTTGTGTTGTCCCCGGGCGATGATCGAAACCCAGGAAGATTTTCCCACCATGCTCATCTGCTCCTGCTTGCGCTCTCCCACTTCGGGGTCGGGCAGCACGGGGTGGGCAGAAGAGCCTCGGTGTGGGAAACAGGGCGCACTGGGACTCTCTCAACACACGACCTTGGACAAGTCTGCTTTTTTCTCTCAAGAAGGTTGGGAGAAAATAAGCATAATATCGGTGCCCAGTTATTACACATCATGCTTGTTATAAGCCCCGTTTACCTTTCCTCGTAACTTTGCAAGGTGGGTATTTCTCCCTCTACTTTAGAAATTAAAAAAAAAGTTGAGGGTCAGGAAGTCACTTGTTCCAGGTCACGCAGCTCGTGAGTGATGGGGCTGGCTTTAGACTCAGGGCCCGTCTCAGTCCAGGGCCCAGGATCTTTTCAAAGAGCCACTGTGCGAAGCTGCCTCCCCCGCGCCACCCCCCCCCCCCCCCCCCGGCTCGAGTCTGACTCCCTGTGTCTTGCCTTGACCCCGCAGGAGAAACAGCCTCACAGGCAAAGGGCATGCTGGAATGCTTCCTCCCATTCAGCTGCGTCCAGTAAGTCTGCAAAGTGAATCTGCATAAATAGTCCTTGAAGTAGGAAGGAAATTGACCGCCTCCCCCCCCCTCAAAAAAATCCAGAACCTCCACTTAGGGACTTCCTAAATAGAGGAGTGATGAGACTCTCTCTAATGAGTCATGGAATGAAGACAGTTATAGGCTGGAAATTCCCAGAGGTGGAGTGCCGAGGACCAGGGAGTCAGTGGGGGTGCCTGGCCCAGACAGGAACTCCAGCGGGAGGGGACTGTAAGGCTCCCGAGGCTCCTGTGGCCATGGAGTGAAATGCCGTCCGTTTGGTCGGAGCCCGCCATGGCCCTGTATCACAGAGGGGCGGGGTGGGGTGGGGGCTCTGGGAGAGCCAAAAGGAGGAGAGACCCCATTTGCTAACCCCGGGAAGTGGTGTTGAGGTCCATGTCCTGATTCTCAGTCCTCTTTGTGCACCAGAGGAGGGTTAACCACCCCACTGCCCCCCTCCCCCAGGAGAGACTCTGAACCAACCCCAGCCCTATGCAGACTCTGAAGATGACAGTTAAAATCTGGGCCTGGCATTCAAGACCCTTCCCTGGACCAGCTTTCCAGTCACTCGCCAAGCCTCACAGGCCCCTTTGCCAGGCTGCTCATGGCCCGCCCCATCCTGGGAGAGCCTTACCCCTCTAGGTCCAGGCTGGCTCTCTTGCTAGTAGCCAGGGCAGACTCCACTCCATCTGTGACATCACACCTTCCCCTGAACCTGCCCACCTTTTGCCACACTGCCTCCTCTGAACACCTGGTGTTTCGCACCTGGACCTTGTCACACATTTGAAACACAATGGCTGCAAGTTCTCTAAGCCCTCTCCCTGCTCCTGGGTGGACCTTAAGGCCAGGAAACAGACTAATGCTCTCAGACATAATAAGGCAGGGAAAATATGCTACAAGGAATTCATCTTCAAGGCGTAAGGGGTCTTTGAGTCCTTGCCTAGTCCATATTGTAGACGCGCGAGGTGGAAGCCTGCAGCGCTCAAGGTGCCCTGTCCAGAAGCAGAACCAGAAGGACAGAGGTGGCTGTCCTATATTATTAACCCATGTCAGGGCCACACCTCATGAGGAGGCAGACTTTGAAGGGCACAAGGAAGCAAAGGGATTGAAAGGAAATGGGGGGTGGGGGAGACAGAGCGTGAAGGAAAAGCCGCAGTGGAATCCTCTCGACCACCTGCACGTGGCCACGTGGCGGTGCCTGAAGAGAAACAACAAGGGCCACCCTCAGATTTCTCGCACCCCCTGGACTCTGTACGGCTTGCACTGTGCTGCTCGAACCTGCAGGGAGTGCAAGCAGGAGACTGTGGAATTCGGCGACTGTAAGCACTCCAGTATAGCTGGACATCAGTCAATAAGGGACACATGTCAAATTCATAAGCAAAAAAAAAAGGAATGTGTTGGCTCATGAAACCAAGTAGAAGGACAGAGGATGCAAGAAACTCAAACAACCTCGTCACTTTCTCTCTCTTTCTTTCCCTGCCCCCACCTCTGTGTGTGAGTGTGTGTGTGTGTGTGTGTGTGTACATCTTGCTTTTACTTTTCTCTGTATGTGGCTTCTTTCCCTCCAAACGAGGACAAGATTCCCTTATGTGGCAGGGGCTTCCCTCACAGACAGTTCCAGGCTTGCATAACTCCACCACCCAGAGAGTGGCCACAAAGGAAAGAGAAAGCTTCCTTTTCCCCTCTGGGATTATATTGATTCCTGGAAAGGACTCTGATTAGTCTCACGTGTGTTGTGTGCCCGTGACATGATTGGCACCCCCTCCCAAGACAAGCTGTGCGGAAGGAATCATTTCTCCACCCAAAACATGAGGTTTGCAATGACCAGAAAATGGGGGCTGAGGAGGTGGTGAAAATTAGGCGGAAAAAAAGGAAAGAAAAGGATTCTAGCCCTGGCTGGTGTGGCTCAGTGGATTGAGTGCTGACCTGCAAACCAAGGGTCCCTGGTTCGATTCCCAGTCAGGGCACATGCCTGGGTTGTGGACCAGGTCCTTAGTACGGGGTGCATGAGAGGCAACCACACGTTGATGTTTTTCTCCTTTTCTTTCTCCCTCCCTTCCTCTTTTTAAAAATAAATAAATAAACAATATTTTTTTAAAAAGAGGATTCCAGGACATACAGCAGCAAGAAAGGGCTGAGTGTGGAGGTTTGGGGGGTGGAATGATACACAGAGCAGAGAGCACACTGGCACTTTATTCTAATAAAGTGCTTGGACTTTATTCTGCAACTGGTGCAGCACCTGGGGAGATTTTAAAAGGTGAGAGATGGTGTTCCCCGACAGAAGCCCAGCCCAGAGCAGGTCTGCCTCGGGCCAGCTGGTAGCGTGTGGATTCTTGACTGTGTGCAGCAAACATTTCACAAGTGGGAGTCCAGGTGATTTTGAGATTACGTGTATTATGGCTGGGACAGTGGAACGAGGAAGAACCCAGGATAGAAGCAGCAACGGGAGAATCTAGGCGGGGCTGCCTTGACTCACTAGAAACATTACAGGGAAGAAGCGAGCCTAGGTGGGGCTGCTTGTCAGCTCACCAGAAAGTCAGAGAAAAGAGGGTCTTGGGATCAGGTTCAGGGACTCAGCCCAGCACAGGACGAGCTGCTGTTCACCATTTCTCCCCTGGTTGCAAGTCCCATAGGGTCCCTTAGAGTCCAGGAGGTACATGCCTACTGGGGGAATGAAGGGAAAGGTGAGGGCGTGCTCCTGGGAAGGAGAGTGTGTACTGGATCTTTCAGCTTGAGGGTTTTAAAGGCTGGGAGTTTAGGGGAGGTCTTAGGGGAGGATTCAATAGAATATTCACCAGCTTTCTAGGTGTGGCCTTTCAGGGTCATGGTCTCCACTGATTGGTAGGTCCTGGGTGCAGTGGGGGGTTGGGGGTATGGGGCTGGGGGATGGGTCTTTAGTCATCACAGCTATTCCTGGTGTCCCCTGGTTTTGCTGCTTTTCTGGGTCTGGAGCTGAAATACAACTGAAGCCTAGATGTTATCTCTGGGGTGGAAAGGTCAGGGGGAATCTACACTGAATGGCCAGCAATAGGCCCCGGGTAGGAAAAGCCATTCCAGGGGCAAGGTCCGGCACCAGTTTTGCCTGTTGCTAGGCACCAGGGGCTTTCCACCTTTGTGACCTTCTGTATCTGGCTGTGAGTCAATCAACCCGTTCGCCCAGCTGTCTCAGTTTCCCCATTCCACCGGCCAAGGAATTTTCCTAGCTTCTCACTACCCTGCCTCAATGGGATCAGGTCGCCTGTGACCCACAAGGTGTGCCAGCCGGGACTGGAGCCAAAGGCACGCTGGGAGCTGCCCGGGGAAGCCTCGAGGTGGCTTACGCAATTGCTGACCGTACCTTAAAGAGCTATCAGGCCTTTTCAGTGTAAACTTTCATATTCACAAATATTGACAAGTGTTTGATTTGCCAAACCCGCTCAGTCATCTGAATAGATAAAACAGTCTCAAAAAGGGAACCAGCAGATCAATCAGAGCAAATGGTTTTTGTTAAAAAGAATTATGACAGGAAAGCAGGAGCTAACTTTTCCAAAATTCAAATTTGTGTTTTGGTGCAGTGCCAAAGGGTGAAAGAGGTGTGAAGTGGAACACCAGGAGAGAAAGAAATAGTTCTTGAAAATACAGCACGTGATTGTATGCACCTCAGAATACAATTGATGCCACACATCTGTTGTGACATCACGTTTTGTCTTCACATTGAGACTGATTAGACTAACAGTTCATATCTCAGCCCCTGTTCATATACAGCCCTTGAAAACTCTTGACTTCGCTTTAAGATAACTCTCACCCCTCATTACTGATTGTTTTTAAGTACCAATTCAGAAAATGAGAAAAAGTTACTATTATAATCTCTTATCTCCTTAAGAAAATAAAACTCTAGAATGTATAAAAGAGAAGAATAAAGGTATTTCAGA